CTGTATTCTGCTGTATCCATTGCATAAGATCAACTGTATCAGGATACAGATCTCACCTGTCCTGTATTCTGCTGTATCCATTGCATAAGATCAACTGTATCAGGATACAGATCTCACCTGTCCTGTATTCTGCTGTATCCATTGCATAAGATCAACTGTATCAGATTACAGAACTCACCTGTCCTGTATTTTGCTGTATCCATTGCATAAGATCAACTGTATCAGGATCATAGAATTCTCGTAGATTTTCTAACTCGTCATTCATTCTAAAAAAAATACCAAATATTTTTAAAAATAAATATTTTTTTTTGAAATAGAAAAGTGATTTAAATCGATTCAAATGAAGAAAAAATTGTTCTCCTAATTGTTAGAGAAAATTTGTCCTTCATACAATGATACAATTACCAACATTTAGAGGGATAAAAAATTTGATTGTAGGCGTAATTTCAAGTGACCCTGCAAGCAAAGAAGGGAATATCTGATTCACAACGGCACCCTTATAAAGCTTTGTCTGATCAATTAGTTATTAATGTTTATAATTTTAAAAACTGATTAATTTTCAGTTGTGTCTTCTCTATAATAGTTCTACTGCAGGAAAACATGTCAGAATTGTGAGAATTAAACACTTTTGAACTTAAATAAATATCTTCCACATTATTTGAACTTAAATAAATATCTTCCACATTATTTGAACTTAAATAAATATCTTCCACATTATTTGAACTTAAATAAATATCTTCCACATTATTAATCAGATAACGGTTTCAAAGGTACAGTTTTTAATCGGGCCTTGCCATCTTTGCATATATGGACGTTTAAAATGTTGCTTAAAGTTCAATCTAAATTTGGTAGATTTTCTTGTTTTGTTGTTACCTTGTTGTTTGTTGGTTGCCTAGGTATAGAATAAGTGTAATTAAAACAAGATGGCGGACAGGGTTCATCAGATATCCACGCTGTCCACCGCTCACCTTTATACAAAACAATTTACCCATGATTTTGTCATGCGAACCTCAATTTATTTTGTTTTGCCATGAATGTGAACATCCAAAGTTTCTACTGCAAACTAGATACACTTAAATCCTAATCATACAGTTATACCTAGAAAACAATGGAATACGAAGACGACATTATAAGAATAGGTGAATGTAATTGATGTTGTGAGCAAGCTAATAATTATATTAGACACTTATTTTATCAATAATTTAGTGAAATCGGTCTGTTTATACTGCACAATTGCTTTGGCTCATGCTCATTTGACTTTTTAATGCTGTAACTTGATTCCAAAAGTCGTCTTCCTATTTCTGAGTTTTCTGGTTATCACTGTAAGACAAGCCAGACAGATATGTTTTACTTTAGCTTTCAAAGCGCTTGGTTCCAGCTTTTGTGTTTGTCAGAGTAAGAAAACATTAAACAGAAGTGCATGCTTTCAATTTGCCATAAGCAATTTGAAAAAAAAAACATTGAATAAAAAGCTACCTCTATGGTGGCTGAAGTAAACTAAACATATACAAACCTTATTGAGAAAGAAAGTCCACAATGTTGGATCAGAAATACCAGCACTTGTTAAAATACAGAGGTACGGACTCCAGAAACATTTCATCCTGAAAAGGAAAAACTATATCATTATATGTATATCTTAAATTTCTATTTTAAACAAACATTTTTCTCTCATGAACTAATCATGATCAAACTCTTATATTTAAACTCCTCAATCAGCAAAGTGTCAACATTTTATATTTCACTTTAACTATTTGATCTTGTAGACAGTAGAATTCATATTTTGAAATATCAATTTTATGCTGTAAAGCTACAAAATAGTCCTGAAGTTTGGGCTTATAATTCGTTATATGTTTAAGAATCTATAGATCCGGATCCAGATTATGTTTAAGAATCTTTAGATCCGGATCCAGATTATGTTTAAGAATCTGTAGATCCGGATACAGATTATGTTTAAGAATCTATAGATCCGGATCCAGATTATTTTTAAGAATTTATAGATCCGGATACAGATTATGTTTAAGAATCTTTAGATCCGGATCCAGATTATGTTTAAGAATTTATAGATCCGGATACAGATTATGTTTAAGAATTTATAGATTCGGATGCAGATTATGTTTAAGAATCTACAGATCCGGATTCAGATTATGTTTAAGAATCTATAGATCTGGATCAAGATTATGTTTAAGAATCTATAGATCTGGATTCAGATTATGATTAAGAATCTATAGGTCCGGATACAGATTCCTAAAATTCAAATCCAGATTAAAGCGACATTAAGCGTATTTTCAAATGACCTGCGAAGATGTTTAATTATGATTATGTTTTCCTGCTGCAGTAGAAATGCGCTAGTTACTTTTGTAGAGAAAATAATAATTTTTCAAAATTATAAACATTGATATCTAATTCATACTTAAGCAGACGAAGCTTAGGGTACTGTTAAAAATCAGGCGTTGAAATCTTTACTTAGAGGTTCACTTGAAATTACAGAATTTTTTCTAAATAATTGATATTTAGCGGCCCCTTATATAAAACTCTAATCTAAATATTACCTTAAAGTAGAAACCGCCAATAAGCCCAGTATTAAGCTCTGACCTAAAAAAAATAACTTTAACTTTAACTCTTTCTTAATCTATAAATTTAGTCAGTCACAGTATGAGACAAAAAGATATAGGACATCAGTTTCCGAATTTAATTAATTTGAGCCGTGTCTTTATTCCGCCAAAATTCGGTTTCAATTGAGCGCCAGATTAAATCTTGAAACATTGAATAAAATTTTAAGTGGAACCCCAACCATTATTTGAGCTGCGTCTCAAATTTAAGCCGGGACTCAAATTCTTTAAATTCAGCCTCGGGTTGATAAAATACAGGGAATATAGAAAACCTGAGTTTGAGACTTAAGTAATTAGTTCCATTATGATAAATAATAAATCATTAAAAGAATTAAGTCTTTGCCACAAACTCAGATTTTCTTATCCCTATATTTTTGTGTTAACACCCTATATCTAGAAAATCTAGGATTTAAGGATGTAAAAACTATACTTTGACTTATTCATGCAAAAAAAAATATTTTTTAAAAAAATGCCTAATGAATTTTGAATTATTTTGGGAAAATTTCTATTTCTTTTTATCAATTTGATCACCATAAAGATATATTTCAACTTGATTCTTGTACAAATTCTTCAAGTTGAAAAGAAAACTATTTAAATTTTAGAATTCGAATACTTTTCTCTGAAAATTGAATAATATGTATTTCATACAGGATGTAGAGGAAACATTGAGTGCATGGTTAGAAGTTTCAGTTTCATTTTCATTTGTAGGTTTTAATCTTTTAGTTTTCAAGAATATAGAATTGAAATAGGAAAATAAGATGCATGTCGAATAGGAAATAAGATGCATGTCGAATAGGAAATAAGATGCATGTCTAACAGGAAAAAAGATGCATTTTGAATAGGAAATAAGATGCATTTTGAATACGAAATATGATACATGTCGAATAGGAAATAAGATACATGTCGAATAGGAAATAAGATGCATTACCGAATAGGAAATAAGATGCATGTCGAATAGGAAATAAGATACATGTCGAATAGGAAATAAGATACATGTCGAATAGGAAATAAGATGCATGTCGAATAGGAAATAAGATGCATGTCGAATAGGAAATAAGATGCATGTCGAATAGGAAATAAGATGCATGTAGAATAGGGAATAAGATGCATGTCGAATAGGGAATAAGATGCATGTCGAATAGAATATAATATACATGTCGAATAGGAAATAATATGCATGTAGAATAGGAAATTGTGAAATTGTGAAATTCTAAGAAAAAAAAGAGGTAAAGAATCTTTTTACAAAAAAAGGCAAGAATATCATAATATCAAAAACCACTCATGCTTCGCTTGATAAAGCAGGGTATAGTTTAAATACTGTTTCAAATCATTGAAAGCATTAAGATACATGTCGAATAGGAAATAAGATGCATGTCAAATAGGAAATAAGATATATGTCGAATAGGAAATAAGATGCGTGTCTAATAGGAAATAAACTGCATGTCGAATAGGAAATATTTCTTTCAATATTTTGTTTTTAGACCCCTTAGCTAAAAAATATGAAAATATAGAAGGTAAGACAAATTTTAAAAAAATGTGGGTTATTTCTAATTAAGATTTTGTCTTAAGGGGAGTTGAACTGAGAATGTAGTATTGTGGAACTTTTTTTAGGAATCATTTGACGTTTCTACGACATAAAGTTTGAGCGCAAAGTCGACGTTCAAAATCATCAATTTGGGTGGGTGGGTACGTTTTCAGAACCGGTTTTTTAATAAATTATAAAATAACGACTACAAAACAATTCTACCGTAAACATATAAGTAGTTGTTCAGGAACAGGTTGAGAAAATAAAAAAATTAGCTCTATCATCGAAAATAAGTAATGTTATTCAGTTATTAGTTTCTGTAATCTCTCATTCTTTACATACATTTTCTGTAGATTTTCTGGAATTTTTATAGAAAAGACGACATTTGAAAAATTTGTAGAACAAATTTGTAAAGTATGAGAAATCAAATATAATGATGAAATCGAAATAATTTATTGACAAATTTCTTTTAAGACAATGTTTCTAAATATCAGTTGACTGTAAATAATTTTTTTACATTTTCGTCGTCTTTATTTAATGATTTTTAAAAAATCGATTCTCAAAACCCAAATTGATGATTTTGAACGTCAACTTTGCGCTCAAACTCAGAAATTTTACATTGTGGAAACATTTTATAGGTCATGTCCACAATACTACATTCTCAGTTTAACTTTAACAAATATTTGAGAATGCGCTATTCGAGATGTAAAACTTCTTTTATTTTTTAGTATTAATTTACATCAATAAATTCTCGAAATTCGGCCGGGGCCTCCTTGGAGATATTGGATTGTAAAGTTTCTAAGAAAAAAAGAAGTAAAGGATCTTTTTGCAAAAAAGGCAAGAATATCATAATATCAAAAACCACTCATGCTTCGCTTGATAAAGCAGGGTATAGTTTAAATACTGTTTCAAATCATTGAAAGCATTTTTAAGAGTTACTTTTTTTAGTTTCATTATATTTGTGTAACCCACTGTATTTGTTGAACATTTGTGTTTAAACATTCATGTTATGTGAATGATAAATTGGACGAAATTACTTAGAATTCATCCATTTCAAAGTTGAGGCTTGAAGCGATGAGTAGAGACATTTTTAATATTGAATATTTTATGGGCTTCCATTACACGCCTCTATCATCATTTTCATCATCGGGATAAAATGTTTTCATCATTTTATTAAAAATGAATTTTCCTCAGCCCTCTCTTCTTCGAGAAAAGCTTTCAGACTTTGTCTATTTACAAAGCAAATAAAAACTTATGTTATGACACTTTATTGTGTTGTATGATTCTTGCAAAATAAAATCAGTGTCAATACATTTTTGAAGCAAAACTTTTAACTACAGGGTGTCCCAAAAAACATGGGAATTCAGTGACGAATTCGATATCGTCTTTTCAAATAATTCTTTGATTTAGTATAGTGATACCTACTGAGAAAGCTGTAATCTGTAAGAGTTTCGTCTGCTATGTTTACATTTTGTTTGTTTATGTTTTGACTGCAACCGGTTGTACTTAGTAAAACAAGAAAATTACAGTATACAAACAGAGTAAACTTGTCCGTATTCACTGTTCATCTTGCGGAGACATTATAGACACATCTTTTCAGTCTTTTACCCTTTTCATTAAATAAACTCTAGCAGACATAATAATAGTATGTCTTTTGAAATTAGGTATTACAATGCTAATTCATAACAAAGACGATATCGAATTCGTCACTGAATTCCCATGTTTTTTGGGACACCCTGTACATTCCAACCACTTTATTAATTTAAATTTGTACAGGGTTACTTAGTAAGAATAAGACTTTCATAACTATCTGCAAAACTATTGAAATTTCATTTTTTGAAGATTTAATTTGGGTTTTTATCATTTTAAAACTTTGCAAATTTAGAAACATTGAACATAAGTGTAAGAACAAAATAAGTTATCATTTTTTATAGCTAACCCTTTACCAAAACTTTGAAAGTAAGGAGAAATACCCGGCTTAACATTTACCATAAACATCAGTGAGTTCTGACTTAATAACTTTAAATGCTTTTTTATACAGGGTGTCCCATTAAACATGCCAGTTGAAAGACGACTTGAATAACGTCTTTGATCATAGATATTTGTCGAAATAAAACGAAATAACTCATATCTCTGGTAAATTTGAAAGCACAAAAAGCGGCAAAATTATTTTAAAGATCACAAACGACCTTATCTGTCATGTTTTGTGGGACACCCTGTAGCTCAACACTTCCTTATAAAAGCAAATATACGAAAAACAAAAAAATGCCTCTCTCCCTTTCCTACATTTTACTGAAAAATGTCCCTAATACAGAATTGAATGCACGAATTAAAATACAGTAAAACCGTATTCAAATGCTTTTATGTTCCTTAAACTTGACAAATATTCACAACACCATTTAACAATCTTTAACCGCTAGATTTGAAAAGAAAAACGTTCTATAAATGAATTTTACAAAGAGGTTTAAAGAAATAAAAGAACAAATATTTTTTTATGAAATGAGTCTTTCAAAGTAAACATTATCCAGCAAAAACAGTCATAATTGTTTTCAAGTCATATTATTAATTGGCCTGGCTCAAAAAAACAAAACATGAACTCAGAAAATTGTATCAATATTTATAGTATCTACGCTACTCCACCCTAATTTTACTTTAACAATTTGTAGCGTACTAAACAGCCAAGCAATAACAAAATTCGATTTTTTTCAAAATTCGTATTTTTAGGGTATTTTTGAATACTACGGGCAACGCCAGACACTTCAGCTAGTTAGAAATAAAATAAGAATATTTTACCAATATGAAAGCAGAGATCCTGCCTTTCCACCCCTGGACTGAGCGACTCTGTAGAATCAACTGATCCATCATTATCACTACGTGGAGGTTTGGTTTGGTTTGAAGAAATTTGGCAGCCATCTTTCTTTTGGTTCTGGTCATTCATCCATCTAAAGTTCGTTACTTTTCGATTATTAATAAATAAGATAAATCATTTTGTCATATAAACTTCAAGTTTATGTTTTTAGTTCAATTTTCTAACTTAACCTAAGATGCTTAAATTCTTATTTTAAATCAAATTTTGCTGATTTTTGCGGACAAATTGCTTTTATTTGTATTAGACCAAGAAAAAAATCCCATTATCTTATTTTTGGCCGTAAAAAGTTATGTAAAAAATTATTTTATCTGATTGATGTAAACTTTTCCTCATCCGACAAATCACCAATGTTTTAACAGTACTGATGTGAATTGCGGTTATTAACCGTATGAAAAAGCAAAAATGTCCAAATCTTCTTCAAATAAAGAAAATCAAATATTAGTAGGAAGCGATGTGATGGTGTAAACAAACATATAAATCTTGGGTTGTACGCCTAATAAAATTTCAAAGGACAACAAAAACTAGTTAAAATAAAGGTGATATTATTATATTTTTGTCAACAACGTGAGAAGCTGCCTATCCTCCTATTTTTAAACCTAATAAAAATTCTTAAAAGTAAAAAAGAAATAAAATTAAATACCTATTTGTGACAAATTTTATATAGTTGAACAGGCATATTGCACAGTACAGGGTCCAAATTATCAAAACAGAGCTAAATAAAAAAAACACTTATTATGAAAATAAATTCTTAAATTTGATGCTTTAAATGTAAAAAATAAAAAAAACATCGAAACATTAAAAATCTAATTTTCTAATTTTATCAATTGATTAAAATTGATTATAAAAAAAAACTTTTATAAAACTTATGAACATTTCATTCTAATTCGCGCGGGATTACCCATCATTGGTGCGCTTGCTTCTGCAAAATTAATTCTCGCATAAAACTCTAGAATGTTGAGCAAAAGTTTGAAGAATTAACAAGAAAATTTGCGTGAAAGGAACTGTTAAGTAACCCAATATGCTAAGATTCCAATGCCCGATTTACAATTATAACCTTGAAACATTTATCTGATCAATAATGAGGAAGAAATTGTAGTTTTCTTTATCTAGAACGATTGATCTTGTTATTAATATTTAAAACTTGAGAATCTATCCTAGAAAGACATGCACTGTTTTGGTTTAAAAATCCGCAAGTTAGTTTTGAAAAAGTAAACTATTTAGATCATTAATGCTTCAAGTGGCTAGTTAGGTTAAATGCACAGATTTCTTAAACAGGGCTAAAACTGTAAAATTACATAAAACTATTGAATTGGAAGACAACATTAAAGCAATAAATAAGTGTATTAGTGCTACAAAGCAAATTGTTATTCATTACTTATTAAGAGAAATGTGTTTGATTACATTGCACAATTGCCGCATCTCATGTTCATTGGACTATTAAAATTAAGCCAAAACTTGGTAATGTTACATCGTCTATACGCAACATCCTCCCTAACTTTCCGACCTACTGCAATATTGGACCTACGCCAGTTGTTTTTTTTGTATTATTTGAGGGTTAGGTTAGGTCAGGACAATTTCTGGGCCGAGCGCCGCGGCTAGGACAGGCTAGAGGGCCAGCTCTGCGGCCAAAAGTCAATATAGCAGCTGTAAAACGTCGGATGTGTAGTATAGCAGATTTGGCGTAGGTCAGAAGTGGAGTAGAGCGGATTTGCGAAGGTTGAAAATTACACCACCCAAAACTTGAGCCTAAAAGTCGTCTTCCTATTCCAGAGTTTTACCAGTAGCTTGACAATTAACTTATTAATAAAAATATGATCGAGTACACTGCACAAAGCTCATGAATGCAGTTATATTCAGCAGTTAAACTCAAGCTGGGGAATTTATTCTGGACATTTAATGATATTTTTCTCATTTTGAAACTTTATTAATGTTTTATAAAAATTACCTCCGCCGCCGTCTACAATTATGGATTAAATTGTCAGGAACATATTGAATATAAGGTGTTTTCGACTGTAAAAGAACTGTTTACAAGTCTAAATCTCCCAGTAATTAATAACAATAATTTTTCAACCTAATGGTGTACTGGTAAACCGAATGAGCCAAATTACAGAAAAAAAACTTAAAATATACAAAATACAAAAATACACATCCCAAAAAGAGAGGATTTTCAACGAAAAAACTTGAAAATACAAACTCTAATAAAAAAAGACGAAAACTCTAAAGAGACAAACTCCAAAGAGACAAACTCTAAAGAGACAAACTCTAAAGAAACAAACTCCAAAGAGACATCTCCAAAGAGACAAACTCCAGAGAGAAAAACTCCAAAGATACAAACTCGAAAGATATAAACTCCAATGAGACAAATTCCAAAGAGACAAACTCCAAAGAGACAAACTCCAAAGAGAAAAACTCCAAAGAGACAAACTCCAAAAAGACAACTTCAAAGAGAACAACTTCAAAGAGACAAACTCCAAAGAGACAAACTCCACAGAGACAAACTCCAAAGAGAAAAAACTCCAAAGAGACAAACTCCAAAGGTACNCAGTCTCCAAAGATACTAAAAACTCTGAAGATACAGTCTCCAAAGATACTAACAACTTTAAAGATCCAGTCTCTAAAGATCCTAACAACTCTGAAGATACAGTCTCCAAAGAAACTAACAACTCTGAAGATACAGTCTCCAAAGATACTAACAACTCTGAAGATACAGTCTCCAAAGATACTAAAAACTCTGAAGATACAGTCGCCAAAGATACTAACAATTCTGAAGATGCAGTCTCCAAAGATACTAAAAACTCTGAAGATACAGTCTCCAAAGATACTAACAATTCTGAAAATGCAGTCTCCAAAAGAAACTAACAACTCTGAAGATACAGTCTCAAAGATACTAACAACTCTGAAGATGCAGTCTCTAAAGATACTGACAACTCTGAAGATGCAGTCTCCAAAAAGCCGAATCCGATCTAACGATATTAAATTCAAAAAGAAATATATTTATATTTTTATTTCTCTCCTCAGCACCTAATTGTGCATCCCCCCCCCACCATATTGCATATTTAGACCATGTTCTAAGTATGTAAGTATGATGTACCGGGTTCTATAATCCTGGGGTTAATGCATGCATCTCTTCAAGCCTATTTATAAAGGGTGTCACAGAAAAATTGTAACATGCACATTGCACATATTAATATTTTATCAGTAAATACTTTTAAAAGCAAAGGTTTTTAGTAATTTTAAACCCTAAGATGTTGTCTAAAGTTTACTTGTATTTTTTTCGTACACCCTGTAGTTTGGTTTGAACCAACCAGAATAAATTTAAACTACTGTCCTTGCATCTAAATTTCAAATCTAATTATGCTGTAGCTAAATGTTGCGAGGTAAATGTAAAAAAACCTCAAGAAAGAGTAGCAGAAATATTTTATGTTGCAGCGTTTTCCTAAATTTCGATAAAAAAAGTTACGATGTTTAATTTGAAATGAAAATGCGGTTTTATAAATCCGAATCCTTATCTCTCTCCATACTTGGACCCTTCTTTATTTTTATGTAAACCCATTTCTTGTGTTTGCTGTAAACTTTTTATGTCCAACAATATTTGGTCTGTTTAGGAGCATTTCTATACTCATTACTCAATATACTACTATTCCCTTCATATCAAATACAAAGCTTCATTTAACACAAGAATGGGAACCCAGCATTGCCTGGAAACTAACCCGGCTTTCTAGAAAAAAACCACTCAATTTAGAAATTTAAGACCATTCCTGCGGTACTTCCGAGCACCCCAATCAAAATTTAAGCCGAATCGGTCAGCTGGGTTCATGGTTTTATGATTGGACATCTAAATATATCTACAGACAAACAGAGATTACTACTTTATTAATTAAAATTTGTGTTAGGTGTATTATTATATGAAAACACCTCGATAAAATTTAATTGCAAAATATGTTACCAAATCGGCCAGAGTATCTTTACTTTAACGGTGAAAGCCGATGTCTAACTTAACCTTACTAAAATAGGCTTAAGACTAAAAACCTTTCATTATATAATATAATTGTCCATAAATACATCTTTGATTTAAGTGCACGTTTGTAGACCATAAATACATCTTCTGATACATCTTCACCGTAAGTCGTCTTTATAAGTTGTCTCTCGGAGACAAACTCCAAACCAAAGCAAATCCCCGCTCAAAGTTGAGTTGAGGAGCCTAACCAACGAACCAACCTAAGCAATGAACAAACCTAAGTAACGAACCAACCTAACTAACGAACCAACCTAACTAACGAACCAGTCTAACCAACGAACCAACCTAACTAACGAACCAGCCTAACTAACGAACCAACCTAACCAACGAACCAGTCTAACTAACGAACCAACCTAACCAACGAACCAACTAGCCTACCTAACATCCAAAATAACGACAATCCCTCACGTTATTACAACAATCTAATGAAAGGTTTCTAATAATTTCCTTCAGGTTGTTCTTATAAATAGTTCAATCTCAATGAAGGTCTAATCTTTTTAACGTTTGAAACAGTTTATAATACTTAAAGAATTCAAGTTTTTTTTAAACTGGCTTTGATGTTTCATAAGACAGAAAAAGTGTTAAGAATTAAAACTGTTATAAAATTAAGATAATGTTTTAATTAACTTTAAGAAAGAGTAGACGTAATTTGACGTGGCATTTCAGAATCACAACGGTACCCAATAAAGCTTGCGCGAGTAAGGATGCTTTTCAATTTTGAAAAGTGTTGAATTATGTTCATGATTGTTTCTGCGCAAACTCCTTTTTATGGAGAACCCATGATTTAAATTAACCATCGTTTTATTTTATTTTTCAAAGGTTTACAGGGTTCTGTTGCGAATTATACATGCCATATTTCGTCTCCATTCCCTTTTATAAATGAATGATGTTGAGACGAGTTATTTCCTGAAATCCTTCATTGCAAAGATACAACTGAGTTTCAAAATCTCCTAGATCACGTGTTATCTGAGTCAGAAAAATTTGTTCGCAAGATTTAGAAAAAATTAAAATAATTTTTATCACATAATTTGTTTAAGGAACAGATATACTAATGGCAATATTCAGACATTGTCATTAATAAATTTATATATTTATGGTTGAATTCAGACATTGCCATTAATAAATTTATATATTTATGGTTGAATTCAGACAGTGACATTAATTAATTAATTAATTAACTATTTCAGAATTTAATTTATATATTTATGGNTGTTATTAATTAATTAATTAATTATTTCAGAATTTAATTTATATATTTATGGTTGAATTCTTGTTTTTCTTTTTCCTTGTTTTTGAGAAATTTAAAAATATGGTTGTCGGCCGACTGGTTCAGGAGATACTGAAAATAAAAAATAAAAACATTTTTTCAAACTTTCAAAATAACGATGAAATTTTTTCTAATTACCATTTTTGGCATAAGTTATAGGAATTTTTCTATGTGGAAAAAATCACCCAGCCTAACCTAGTCACAGATTCACAGTCCTTACTATAGCGGCAAAATAAATGCTGTGCAGCAAAAATGACAATATTAAAAATGACCAAAATGTCGTATCGCAATATGTTATAAAGGTTACATTTTGTTCTACAATACATCACGGGCAGCCGTAGTGCGTACATATGAATTTCCGAGCCGGGTCAACCTTTCCAGTCCCATTTTGTACTGTATCGGCATTGGGTAAATAAGGCAGACACTAAATAGGACTAGCCGGTGCAACGTTGACGCGGTCAGACCTTCAAGGTTTAATTTACTTTTACTAAAGGGGCAGAGGTGCGTGATATATCCTTTAATGCCAGGTTTACTAAAGGGGCAGAGGTGCGTGATATATCCTTTAATGCCATGTTTACTAAAGGGGCAGAGGTGCGTGATATATCCTTTAATGCCATGTTTAATGTGAAAACTAAGTTCTATCTACTGTTAGTTTAAAGGTTGATTAAACACTTTTAAATAGAGAAGCCATTAGTTTAAAACAGAAGATTTAAATTATATAATGAACACTGTGTGAAAGGAAAGAAAAAAGGACTTTGGCAACGCGTCAAAACAAAAACTTTATATCTCAGAATTCAATTAAAACATTTCGAATCTAATATTTCTATAAGGTTTATAAAGACAGAAAGAAAGATTGAAGATTAATAATTTGTTTAAACCCATCCTTCTCATTTATCAAAATTAATTTATTTCGCCTTTCCTCATGGGCCCTTTTTAAAAAATAACCCCCCCCCATCCCGCCTTTTTTGTTTGGAATTGATATGGGATTAACAGAATAAAAAAATCACGGGCAGCCGTAGTACATTTGAATTTCCGAGCCGGGTCAACTTTTCTGGTCCCAGTTTGTACTGTATCGCCCGGACATTGGGTAAATAAAGCAGACACTCAATAGGACTAGCAGGTGGACGCGGTCAGACTGTAGGTTGAATTTACTTTTACTAAAAATTAATTAAAAATTATATCTACTTTACACTGATTATTTAATTTCTCAAAAAAAAAAATAAAAAAAACCCTTGTTGCTATGCTTAGGAATTTCTTTACGTTGGATTTCTATAATTTATGACGAACCTAACCTACCTTTAAGAACGAGTTGAGTCCAAAGGAAAGACCAAGGGTTGAAAAAGCTTGGAAAAGAACTGAGCCAATATTTTTCATAATTCCAAACTCAGCAGAATAATTCTAAACAAATATAGAGTTAATCACTTTTAACATTGTATCAAAAATTTTCTTTTTTGTAACAAGTTGACCCCTCCCCCACCACCTCACTTTTCTCATATTTTTGTTTTCTTTTTTCATATCAGTCCTTTCCCCATCTCTTTCGGCAAAATTTTGGCTACTTCCCTTAATCGTTCAAACTCGAGAGAATGAGGTTTAAGGAAATGCATATTTATTTGAATTTCATGTTTAACAGTCAAAACATATTTATTCGGTTTCATGTTAAACAGACAAAACATATTTATTCGGTTTCATGTTAAACAGACAAAACATATTTATTGTTTCATGTTAACCAGTAAAAACATATTTATACGGTTTCATGTTAAACAGACAAAACATATTTATTCGGTTTCATGTTAAACATTCAAAACATATCTATTCGGTTTCATGTTAAACATTCAAAACATATTTATTCGGTTTCATGTTAAACAGTCAAAGCATATTTATTCGGTTTAATGTTAAACAGTCAAAACATATCTATTCGGTTTCATGTTAAACAGTCAAAACATATTTATTCGGTTTCATGTTAAACAGTCAAAACGTATCTATTCGGTTTCATGTTAAACAGTCAAAACTTATCTATTCGTTTTCATGTTAAACAGTCAAAACATATTTATTCGGTTTCATGTTAAACAGTCAAAACTTATCTATTCAGTTTCATGTTAAACAGTAAAAACTTATCTATTCGTTTTCATGTTAAACAGTCAAAACATATTTATTCGGTTTCATGTTAAACAGTCAAAACATATCTATTCGGTTTCATGTTAAACAGTCAAAACATATTTATTCGGTTTCATGTTGAATAGTCAAAACATATTTAAACGCTTTCATTGAATTGTTTAATAAGTAATTCTTATTATCTTTTTTATAATCCGGGTTCCTAACTTAAAACAACCAGAGCTGTTATTCTATAATTGTAAAAACTTGGTAAAAACAAAGCATAAATATATTTTTTACTTTTTCAACTTTTCTTATTTTCTCCTTTTGTTGTGACCTATACAATTTCCCTCTACTCCAATCTTCTTCCCATTTTATCATACTTTCTCTTTCTATCTTTTTGCTTTTGCCTTTTAAACATCAAATTTGAAATAACCTTTTCCAATTTTCTTACCTCTTTTTACTCTGCCCTCCCCCCCCCCTTTCCGTCTTANCTACACACCAGAAATATAAGTTTATTTTAACTACACACCAGAAATATAAGTTTATTTTAACTACACACCAGAAATATAAGTTTATTTTAACTACACACCAGAAATATTTTCTGATGCAACGCCAAGTGGCTCGCTTTTGAAAGAGTTGTACAAGATTTTCTGGACTAATCAGAAAATTTAAGAAGGATGAATCATTTTGAAAAATTGTAAAAGGTTTATTTATAAGTTTTCTTTAAAAAATGCTAGGTTTTTCAAGTATTTTGGTTTTTTTTTTGCGTTAAAACTTGGAGATAATCTAATATGATATGGAACGCTCTGTACCTAAATCTCATAGATTTTACAAATAAAAAAAGTGAGCAATATGCGTGAACAGTTTAAAAGAGCTCCATATAATTATTTAATGGAAATATTAAATATCTGCAGTATTCCATTATCAGTAGGTTTCAAAAATGCATTTTTTAAATTCTTTCAATGTCACCAAAGTTCTGGGTTTAACTGTACACACAAAAAGTTGACAGGTTACGATCATAATTAGGCTTCTATCTATTTTAATAAAGGGTCAATCATAATTTTAAAAAAAATTAAAAAGCAACATCCTTTCAAAAAGTCGAATTTAAGCCAAGTCTACAATCAGATTTTACTTGGAGACTTGGTGAAAACTGGGATTCAAAAAGTCAAGTTTAAGTCGAGTTTATGCACCGAGATTTCGCCCAGTTTGTGACTGGAGTACAACCTTGGAGTTTAAGTCGAGTTAAAGTGGAGTTTTGAAGTGGATATTTTAAATATAAGTTTTCACCCTGACTTGGTGAAAACTGGGATTTAAAATGTCGAATTTAAGTCGAGTTTTTGCACCCAGATTTTAACCAGTTGGTGACTGGAATTCAAAAGTGGAGTTAAAGTCGAGTTTGGGTGGAGTTTTGAAGTGGAGTTTAGGATAACTAGTTGACATCTAGTTGTATTATCCACTTCTGTTTACTAGGTAATCTAAGTTGACAAGCAGCATGCATGTTCAGAAGTAAACTTGTTTTCAAAGTGACAATGTTCAGTGACTATTAAGAATGAGAAAGTAAAAACGACGTGAACATCTTTAGTCTAAAATTGCTTATTTGATAATTTGAGAAAAACATAAAGTATTGTTTATAGCTTCAGGGAATCATGAATATAAAGATACGGTATAAATTCACTAAAGTCGGTTTCTGAAATACCTGTAAATACCAAACTGTTAGTATACTGACAAACATTATACTAACCTAATCTCTATCTCTGAGCCCAAGTGTAGTTAGTATAAAGAGAATGAGGGCTTGAAGTAATGATACTAACCTTATCTCTATTTATGAGCCCCAGTGTAGCGAGTATGAAGAGCATGAGGGCTTGAAGTAATGAAACGAACTGAGCAAACTGCCAGGTTAAAGTATAAACCACTCCAGTCAAATATATTCTAAAAACAAACATTTTTATATTGGATATTAATAGGGTGCAGAATTTTTTTATTCCCCCCCTCCCCTTTTTATTTTCGCTGATTTCGAGAAAACAAGAAACATTTCGTGTAAAAAGAATGAAAAAAACTTGTTTTTTAAATTTTCAAAACAAGAAAAAAAACGTATATTTTATTACAACCTACTTGTAACCATTAAATATTATCAGTAAAACTTATTATTTGTATTTGCACTAAAATTACTTTGATGGTGAATTAGAACTAAAACCGTTTTATCGCATACAGTGATAACCTGAAAACTCTGGAATAGGAAGACGACTTATAGACTTAATTTACGACCTTAAATAATACATTGAACATGAGACACAGCAAATTTTCAGTACAAAAAGACCCCATTATCTCTAAAAGGGATTTAATAAATTACTAGTGACACAGTTGCTTTGTAACACCATAAAAGTAATAAATACATAAAAGTATTGCTAAAATGTTTCTCACTGTAGTATAACATACATTTTTATTAATAATTGTATTTTACAAAAATATTAAAAGATTATTAGTATTAGTATATTATAATCACAAAAATGAATGGGGGGGGCATGGGGCCCAGAGGATATGGTTAATACTTTAAATAAATCCATTGAATTTTTTTGACATTATTGAGTTTCATAAAAATGTATGCAATAAGATTTAACTAATAATTTATCATCGTTACGGATGAAAAGATAGGAATTATACAGTTTACATTAAACTAGGAAAAAGCTTTCAATCTTTTTGCAAAGCACAAGGAGCATATATCATAAGTTTTGGGCACACTTCATAGCTTTCCGTCATGCGATGTTTCTTACTCTTGTAACTATTGATATTTTTGTCTTCTTCATTTAGACAAGTTTGAACCAGAAAAATATATTTTTTCAAAAAAATCAATCAAAATACTTTCACAGGGGTAGAAAACGTAAATAAACATTGAACAATATTTTAATATAAATACCTGAACAACTGGCTTTCCCTTCCTTCCCTATAGAACAAAATTGAATTTTAAAAATTAAAGAAAACATTTTCTGTCATTTCTGTGTTTCAAGGGTTAGCTACTAGCTTTATGATATATATAAAACAATGATTAATCTAAAACGATGCATTAATAAGGCAGAAAAGAAGGATATTGCATTAACTGGTAGATTTATGTCTCTTTTACCCACTTTTTACCAAGAACAATCTTATTCTAGAAAATTAAAAACTTAAAATTGTCGAATAAATGGAAAATTCTAAATAAACTTTAAATCCGTATACACTATACATCTTTTTATTTTAAAGTCAAATTTATGAGTGACTTAATACTTTTGGGAACAAAGCTGAGTCTTTCATTCAAACTCAAATTTTTTAATTATTTCAAAAAGATTTTCAATTTTAAATCAACAGAATTTTATTTTATATTTTATGTTTAAAAAAAGTCCCCTATGTTTTTTAACACTTCTGAAATTCACATTTCCCTGAGAAATTCTCCAGTAGCGTAGAATTGACAGAAAATGAAGGGAAGGGAGAAATGTTCCCTTAGAGGAACTGTAAATGTAACTCTAGTAACATCAAACCTAAATAGTAATTGTATAGGTAACTCTAGTAACAGCAAACCTTAATAGTAACTGTATAGGTAACTCTAGTAACATCAAACCTAAAGAGGAACTGTAAAGGTTACTCTAGTAATATCAAATCTAAATAGTAACTATATAGGCAACTCTAGTAACATCTATCCTATATAGTAACAGTATAGGTTACTCTAGTAACATCAAATCTAAATAGTAACTATATAGGCAACTATAGTAACATTTATCCTAAATAGTAACTGTAAAGTTTATTCTAGTAACATCAAACCCTAATAGTAACTGTATAGGTAACTCTAGTAACATCAAACCTAAAGAGGAACTGTAAATGTAACTCTAGTAACATCAAACCTAAATAGTAACTGTATAGGTAACTCTAGTAACATCAAACCTAAATAGTAACTGTATAGGTAACTTTAGTGACAACTAACCTAAAGAGAAACTGTATAGGTTACTGTAGTAACATCAAACCTAAATAGTAATTGTATAGGTTACTATAGTAACATCAAACCTAAAGAGGAACTGTAAATGTTTCTCTAGTAACATCAAACCTAAATAGTAACTGTATAGGTAACTCTAGTGACAACTAACATAAAGAGAAACTGTATAGGTTACTGTAGTAACATCAAACCTAAATAGCAATTGTATAGGTTACTATAGTAACATCAAACCTAAAGAGGAACTGTATAGGTTTCTCTAGTAACAATAAACCTGAAGAGGAACTATATACTGTATAGGTTACTCTAGTAACATCAAAAAAAGGTTTTTATAAAATGAAATGTTTAAAAAAATGTTTCTTTTTAAAAAATCCATTAAAAGTTTTCTATTTTTTGTAATCAGAATAAAAAGAAGAACGTACTCTCACTAATCTGAATTTAGAATTAAAGGAAACCAACCTGTTCATAAATACATAGACAACAGTTAGAACTCCACTAAACAATTATCAATTAATCATTATGATTTCATATCTTATAAAATCTAAAAGAATATTTCAAATTGTTCGTAAAAAAAATTGTCCCTTTTATTTGGTTTAAATCTTCAGAAAAGAACCGATTAAAGGATTAAACTGAATTCAAATTTGATTAATAAATCAATTATATATTTTTTGTATATTTTTGGAACAATTGATTTATTGATTTGCCTGAGCCAAGACCCAGAAAGAGACCAAGATATAAGGTATAAGGCACTCAAATACAATCCCTAAAATTATTTAATAATAAAAAATAAAAATATTGGGGCCAATTTTTTTGAATTTGAACCTAGTTGCTGAACTGCTGATCACCGGTTCAATTTGCGCACTATCTCAAATCTCGTAACATTGATTAAAATTTCATGATTTAATTGTGTCTCATGTTTTTGAACAGCATTTAGACGTAATTCAACTTTTTTGAATTCGGCCCCTGACTAATTTTATCCTTCCTATCAGAAAATTTGTATTAATTTTCCGTCAAACTATCCTAAGCATGCCATTTAAAAAGATGGGGAACATAAGCTGTCATTGGGGAACAAATGACTTTAGCTTTGGGATAAGTGGCGAATAATATAAAGTTAAGTTAATTAAACTGAGGCCGAAATTAAAGAATTTGAGCGGCGGCTTGAATTTAAACCGCGGCTCAAATTTGGTTGGTTCCACTTAAAAATGTATTCAGTTTTTCAAGATTTTATCCGACGCTCAATTGAAACCGGTTTTTGGGTGATTTGAGACGCGGCTTGAATTCATTAAATTCGGACACTGGTTTATATGGTTGAAAGCTGTCGGTCACGTAACACAGGCTGTCTACGCCTGATTCAGAAGATATAGTATAGCACTATAATCTTCAAGTTTAAAATTCAAGAATATTTGAAGACTAGAACTTGTGAAATGGTTTTGAATCAAAACTATGACATATTGTTTTAATGTAAAAGTTTTAGGTTTATAGAGACGTCTGATAAGCATGTACCTGTAAAGCGAATACAAAGTATGTGTAGAAAATAATAGGACGGAAACCCAAGGACTGAAAACGGTAGAGAATAGAGAGAAATATCTCCTGATGAATGTTAAACCTAGATACATACAAGGATACAGTGGGACACAAAATAAACTAGATTAAAAAGAGCTATATAGTGTATCCCCCCCCCCCCACCCTGAACTAACGAGAGAGAGAAGCATTCGGTTTTTTTTTATTTAAATCAAACGTGTTTTCGTCTATAACTCAACAGTCTTTAGACTTACAGATTTGTTTATTTTATACTTTTTCATTTGCAATGTATATGCCAACAAAAAATTATTTCAGATAAAAGGCTATAAAATTATGTAAAAGGGGTCAAATTGTGATCGAAAGTCACTGTTTTCTGAAATATTGACAGAACCGTTATATCCACGTGCCCCCCCCCCCTCGATAAAAAAGAATTTCATCCCCGATTTACTTTGGTACCCTTAAGAGTGTTATCTGATTAACAAAGGTCAACGATCATTAAAAATGTCTTCGTTTTAAAGATAAATTACTTTGCATGATAAATGGATGAAGGACAACTGTACGTATGTTTCAACTGATCATAGACGTCAAAGAAGTTCAATTCCAGATAAGTTTCTGATATTTGTAAGGAAAAAAAATATTTATAGTTTTCTATTTTGTATTCCTACTCAGAAAATAAACAATTTAAAACCAGTTCCAAGTTATTCTAAGAAAGGAAAGAATTTTTTGGAGAAAAAGAAATTAAATACAACTTGCAAACTTAGCAGACACATTCAAATAATAATTTCCAAAATGTCAGCATTCTTTAATGTTTTACATTTGTCTTCAAGATTTTTAAACGTGTTTTAAATAATTTTTTCTTCACAGCCTCCCAAAAAGGTTTAGTTTTACCCTAAAAATGGTTTGGTTTAGCGCTAATAAGTAACAAAGAAATTATGCAATTTTTTGTAATGCCAAGTTTTAATAGTATATCTTATTTTTTTACCTTTGAATGATGTTGACAGTGTTCAAGGACTCGGTCTTATTATCAAATTGAAGATCTCTTAATCCTTCACCAATAGAGGGCGCTGATACCAACTTAAAGAAAAAATAGAGTGCGCTGATATATAACTTTGAAAAAAAGAGGGTGCTGACACCAACTTAAAGAAAATATAGAGGGCGCTTATAACTACTTAAAAAAATGGTAGAGAGGGTGCTGATACCAACTTAAAGAAAATAGGACATGAGCGCTGATAACAACTTGAAGAAAATAGTATAGAGGGCATTAATACCAATTCTATAGAGGGCGCTGATACAAACTTTAAAATAGTATGGAGGGCGCTAATACCAAATTAAAGAAAATAGTATGTACCCAAGTAACAAAATTTCCCAAGATCCTCCAACTGTGGTGATTTTTCGAGGAATTTCTCTAGAATCAGTTCCTGCACTTGATTCCTCGGAAAATCTCGAGAAATTCCCCAGAATTGGTCCCCAAGATGAAAGTTTTTTGCGGAATCACAGTTTTGAGACTCAGTTTCGAGAAATTCACGAGAAATTCTTCAGAATTCTTCCCCACAAAATTCCTCAGAATTTCTCCGGAATACTTCTCCGGAAATTCCTGAGAAATTCTTAGGACTTGATCATTGACCAAATATAAACAGAATTTTCAACAAAATTGACAAAATATAAATAGAGTTTTAAATTAAATTGACAAAATATAAACAGAATTTTCAATAAAATTGACAAAATATAAACAGAATTTTCAACAAAATTGACAAAATATAAACAGAATTTTCAATAAAATTGACAAAATATAAACAGAATTTTCAACAAAATTGACAAAATAAAAACAGAGTTTTAAATTAAATTGACAAAATATAAACAGAATTTTCAATAAAATTGACAAAATATAAACAGAATTTTTAATAAAATTGACAAAATATTAACAAAGTTTTCAATAAAATTGACAAAATATAAACAGAATTTTCAATAAAATTGACAAAATATAAACAGAATTTTTAATAAAATTGACAAAATATTAACAAAGTTTTCAATAAAATTTTCAAAATATAAACAGAATTTTCAATAAAATTGACCAAGTATAAACAGAATTTTCAATACCTGTTTAAAGTAAGAATAATAAAGGCCCTGCTCGGTACGAAATGAGATTTCTCTCTCTAACTCCTAAAATGTAATATATATTTAACTTTGGAAAATTTGAAGAAAAAAAAGTGGGTGTTTCTAATTTACCATTATTTCAGAGAACCAAAGATCATTCTCATGTAGTTGATGAAGAAAGTAACTGTACTTGTATCCTACATGGGAAGTAAGCCGTTAGAAATGATAATGTAGAGAAAAAACAATTATCTAAACATTTTTTGTGAAATTCATACTTATATTTTGTAAATATTTTTTCTGTCATTTATTCCTCAGAAGCAGAAATTTGCAGACTACAGACTACAATTTGAAATGCTGACTAGTACCGTGCAACATTTTTTTACATGTAAAATATGACTTTCATTGACCTTTATGATTATGATATGAGTTGGGACACTCTGTTTTCCTAGTCCCCATCTTGGCAGTTTGGATATATGAAAGAATATATGAAAGAATTACAGAATAAATGATTTCTATTTGGTTCCTAGGAGAAGCATGATGAGGGTTCCCAGGATCTTGTTGAACGGAGCTACCAAACCAATAAATCCAATCTGATAAAAAATCACATTTATTTTATATTCCTTTATAAAGTGTACATGCACTTTATTAGTACAAATGTGTGTCTGTATATGTTCCCTTAACCTTAGGAAAGATATTTATAGTTTTTATGTTTGTCAAACAAATTTTTGGCATAAAATGGCCGACCTGCTTTTGCGCATTTTTCTCAACTTTTCTGTTTTCGTCGTTTTTTATTAACTTCTCCTCCTTCCTTCCTTTCCTCTCTCTTGGTCCCTCCATTCCGCTTAGTTCACCGCTTCTAGATTCTTCTAAACCCTTCTCTTCCTTAGATTCAAGACTCTCACTAAAACCTCTTGATTTTCTTTGTCGAGCCCCACTGGAGAGCTCAATCAAATCTTCTGGTCTATGTCGTCTTCTTATGAGATCGTCTTCATTCTGCAAATTTTGAATTAGTATTTTTATTTTTGTTGAGACTAAATTAAAAATAAATTCAATATCTTATAAATTCTTTTCTCGTGTTTAGCCAATATAAATAAACAAGTAGTCCATTTTGTTCCTTTATCAAAAATGCCTTTATAGAGTTTGTAATTAGTATGTCCTGAAAATCTTTAGATGCAAAAGGTTTATTCACAAAATATTAAGACTTTTGAATGGCCAACCCCTTATCATAATAAATACTGAAATAAAATGTAATTTGCTGCAAACAGAAAATATAATTCTGTAGTATTCGAGGAACCATATAGCTGTACAATGATAACCACAAAACTCTAAAATAGGAAGACGACTTTTAGCTCAATTTTTTAATTCAAATTTGTGCAGTGTATACAGACCCATTTTATTTTAGTTGTGTATAATTTTAATTAAATAAGTGTCTATTAAAGGTATTTGCATCAAATAAGCTTAAATTTTCTGGTTATTAATATTAGAAAAATGATTAATCAATTCCGTTATTTATATCCTACATATTTTACCTTATAAATTATATCTGCCATAACACTTCGTGGAACATAAATAGGTTCTTCTTCAATATATAAACTCTCATGTTGGAGGGAATACAGGTCTATCTCAGCTCTAAACATAAATAGGTTCTTCTTCAATATACAAACTCTCATGTTGGAGGGAATACAGGTCTATCTCAACTCTAAACATAAATAGGTTCTTCTTCAATATACAAACTCTCATGTTGGTGGGAATACAGGTCTATCTCAACTCTAAACATAAATAGGTTCTTCTTCAATATACAAACTCTCATGTTGGAGGGAATACAGGTCTATCTCAGCTCTAAACATAAATTGGTTCTTCTTCAATATACAAACTCTCATGTTGGAGGGAATACAGGTCTATCTCAACTCTAAACATAAATAGGTTCTTCTTCAATATACAAACTCTCATGTTGGAGGGAATACAGGTCTATCTCAACTCTAAACATAAATAGGTTTATCTTCAATATACAAACTCTCATGTTGGAGGATATACTCTTTTTTTTTTAACAACGGAAACATTTTTTTAACAAAAATGTTCTCGTCTTTTTGATAGAGAACAAAGGAATTGAGTCTTTGGAACAAAATCAAATATTTAAACCTCAATATTTTTAGAACTCGATGTTGTAAACCTTTGATATTTCAAACTCAGATTGTTTGATCTAACAGAATTCATAGTTTGAAATATCTAAGGTCTACAACATTTGGTTCCAAAGATATAGTGATTAGAAAATCAGAGTTTGTAGCAATGACTTAATTCCTTTGTGTCCTAAAAAGTACACTGGAAACCAAAATAATATTGATTTTAATAAAAAAAATCTAAATTAACCTTTTAGAACTGTCTGATTGTTCTTCAATTGGTCTCGATCGGTCAAACGGGGAACCTATCTTTGGTTTCTGCAGTCGAGATTCAAAAGGTGAATCTGGTTTGGATTTGTAGTAAGGTCGGTTTTCAAATGCTGAAGCGCTTCGAGGTAGTGGCGATTCTCTATATTAAGTTTTCTTTATGTTTTACATTAAACTAATTTATCTTTATTCTTTTTTTGAAAATATTACTTTTGATGTTTTAAAAAATGCTTTCCTATTGGCGTAAAAGTCTGGTTGACTGAGTCCTCGGGAAAAACTTGATTTTCTAAAAAAGTCATTTTATAATTTATAATTCCAGTGACTCGATAAATGTACCTCTTAATTGTACTTCCTAACTAAATGTACTCAATAGAACCCTTTTGTACTTTCTTGTAAATGTATTGAATAGACTCACTTGTCCTTTATATTTTAATGTACTCAATAGACGGGGTCCTTTCTTATTAAATGTACTCAATAGACCTCTTGTTCTTTCTTATTGAATGTACTCAATAGAACACCCTTGTTCTTTCTAATTAAATGTACTCATGAATACATGTTTTATTAAATGTACTCAATAGACCCCACTTGTTCTTTCTAATTGAATGCACTCAATAGAACCCCCCTGTCTTTTCTAATTAAATTTACTAAATAATTCCATCCAAATGTACTCAATAGACCCCTCTTGTACCTGTCAGGTTGTGGAGTATTATTGTACCCTACCCTGCCAGTACCACTATACAAATCCAACCTTAGCAAATATATTTTAACAAAACATGTTGATAGACTTTTTTGTCTTCTTGGGTTCATATAATTATATGCAAAACAAAATAAAAACATTTTTTAATCGTGTTTCTACAAAATTGTTAAGTAAAGGGCAAAAAACCGTACATCTTCGTTTTGGATTAAAGTATACTTTAAAATACTTTTCCATGTTTCTTTTACCTGTTGACATTCGAATTCGTAAAATTTGAATTCACATTTTGGTGCAGGCCTGGAAAAAGAATGTATTTAAGTAATTTTCACATTAAAGAAAAAAAATAGTAAAGAAAATGAGGGAAATGTAATAAAAATAGTAAAACATATTATAATAACTCTAAATTGTTATTTTAATCAGTAATAACAATAATATTACTATAACTATGGTGTTATTAACAATGATATCAAAAAGGATAATAACAATAATAATAGTATTAATAATGATAACAATGTTGATGATAATAACGATAATAATAGTAATAAAATTAATAATGAAAAAACCTCCTTTTCTTGTCCAGTTACTATGGGTGGGCGCAGAGGAAGGAGCACTAAAACCTAGAGTAAGGTAGGGATAAACCTAGGGTTAGGGTTAACAAAATTCAAATATTCTTTTTAGAGCTTTGAAATTAGCTTCATATTTCATTTCATTTCGCCAACACAGTAATTCATAATTTATCATAATTACAGTAATTCTAACTCACTGCAAGCTAGACTGAAAGAGAAGGTCATATTTATGCGACATTACTGGTAAGACTGTGTAACCTTTTAGCTCTGAAATATTAGAATTACGAATTTATTCGGTAAAATTTAAGAAATTCAAAACGTTTTTTTTCATCTCAGAGTTTCTAAAATATAGGAGTAGTGATTGAACACATATTAGGTTTCAATCTTACGTTCATTTACTTTAGTTCAGCGTGAGAGAAAAATTACCAGAGTAAAATGGAGAGCTAGATTCAGAGTTGGGTTTTCTTGATTCTCTACCACATGATCTGAATTAGATTTCTAAACACATCTTAAATTTTATATAACACTTATACATTTATAATCACAATAACAATGCTTTTTTTGAGGAATTTTAATGAATTGGACTTTTAGATACTCATATCTCAAAGGCTTAGTCTCAATATCCACTTTGAGTAATTCTAATTTGAAAATCAATGATTAATCTATTCATTTCAGCAGTTATCCCTTATGACTTATGAGTTTGATTACCATGCGGTATATCCAATAAATATTAAATTAATCTACAAATTAACAAAAGATACGCAGTGATTTCGATATCCAAAACTCGAGAGTTCCCAGCTCAGGAAATTAAAAAAGATATTATTTCATTTTCATACAAAAGATAATATGTACCTAATAAGTTGTGGTTGCGTTACTCCATTTTGAACTTTATTCTGAACATCTGTTAGCTCCCCATAACTAGAAAATATTAATCTTATTTGCCTACATAACCTATATATAAATTTAGCTTGTCTGGGTGTCTGTTTGGGTGTTTTTTTCTGTTTGTTTGTATCCAATAAACGTCAAAACGGCTGAATCGATCAGGCCTAAATTTTGTGTGGAACCTCACGTGGCCCCAGGGAAGGTTTATGGCCGATCATCTCTAAATATGTTATATTAAAATATTTTTACCTAAAATTATTTAATTTTGTAAAATTTTGAAAATGCGTAAAAAATGGTATAAAATCCGCAACAACAAAAAATTGTTTACTGTACATAGAGAAGATGTTCACAGATAAGGCCACAATTAAAAGTTGAAAAAGAAGATGTGCGCGAAGCGCCCTCAAAGCCTAGTATATATATATATAGATACAAGCTTAAGATTTTAGCTAGAATCTCAAAACCAAGCTTAAATTATTACAGTGGTTTTCCCGAGATCCCCAATCAAAATAAATTTGAGTCAAATCGGTGAAGTAGTTCCTAAGTTATGAACTCTCCCGGATTTTTTCTGCCATTTAAATAACAAATACATGAAATTCAACAAAATTTAAAAATTTCTCTTTAAAGATTTTCACAGTATTGTTATATATTGAACTTACGTTTTGAAATTATTAAAATTAGGCTGAGGTCGTATTCTACTTGAATACTCTGGATCCTGATACCGATATAACACGTCTGAAAAAAAAATCACTTTATACAAAAAGTTCATCTGCACAGTTCCCTTAAAATTAGAGCTGGGAAATGTCTGCCAACGAAAAGCAAGTTTTTAAAAATTAATGTTTGATAACGACAAATTCTGTCAATTTAAAAACATTTTAACGAACAAAAATAATGAAACCGTCTTGAATTCAGTTAACGTCGTTCATAAGATTGAGATAATTAATGAACAGAAACTTTAAAAAAAATATAATTTTAGGTAACCGTTGAAAAAAGTTTAAACATGCCCAGCTCTATTAGGTATAAAATCTCTTAATTCTATTATTATGTCTGTAAGATGGTGTTTCAAACTTTGACTTTTAGTTATAGCAAAAATAATAGTCTAATATATTAAAGGTCTTCGACATCAGATCGAAAAGATTCAATACATATTGTGTCTTATGAATAATGCTTCTTTATAAAGTATAACTTTGAAAATAAAACATTTAATTTGAATGGATTTAATCCAATTTAGAGCTGAAATTCTACTAACCCATATAACGTTTCATTTCAACACCATAAGTAAATTATTAACAAAAAATATTTCTCAAAAAAAATTTAATTTTCAATTAAATATGATAAAACAATTGTTTAGGAAAAGAATACAAGAATACAAGAAAAAATATATTATATTAAATATCTCGTTTTTACTCCTTCTTCGGTAATAAATCAAGTCTCAAATTTCAGAACTATTATCTCTATATATATAATTTATATGTACATAGAAAGATTTAATAATATAAATATTAGATATGTTAATCGATTATAAACAGTAAGAACCAGATAACACTGGTATCAATGTCGTCATCGTTCATCCTTAGACTAATGAATTGTTGCAAGGGATTTTGTGATTGTATTTTTTTAAAAATGTTGACTAATTTGCCGTAGCAGGTTTGAATTACCTAACATCTGAGATATTAGAAAAGGCGAGAAATTAGGGAAAATTATTTACTCACACAGATATTTAAGTATTGCATATTTAATTTTGTATTCATTTACTCATTAAAATACAGCGGTCGGCATTAATATCAATTCAATGAAGACGACATTTCTATTAAAGTCTTCATTTCGAAATTTTTTTTTAATTATAAGTTTGCAAGTAAACAAAGAGATCCTGTTAATTGACAGCTTCTTCAGAATTCGCCTTCATTGTATTAATGTATACGACGACAAATGTATTTTACATCTCTTGTTATTTACAAATAACTCACCAATTATATCATCACCGGGTTCCATTCCTCCCTGTACACCCGGACCATCTAAAAAAAAATAATAGTTTAAATGTTTACCGCCTGTCGACCAACATTATTGACCCACGATTACCAAAATAGTGGGATGTTTTAAGTTACTTAACGTCCCTTGAGACAACTAACCCTGTAAATGTATGTGCATAGCCCAATTGTTCAAGGCCATGGCTCAGTGTGAAAAAAATTACTTTTGAAGTTTGGGTGCTAGGGAGGATTGAAAAAATGCCAAAAAAGGTAAAAAAAAATTAAAAATATTGTTTTTTGTTCAAAATTAATATTAAAGTGCAGAGTCACATGTTTCTCCATCAATTTGTCAAAAATATAGTTTTTAGATATGTAGCTTTAGTCATTAAAAGGTTATGGAACATTATAGATTCTTTTTACACAAACCAGACTTTTAATTGCCCCTGTACGGTGTACCCTATGCATAAAAAAATTACAAAAGATCCTTTCAATTCCTGTTAATTAAAAGTCATCAAAGGAATTGAGTCTTTGCCACAAACTCTGATTTTCTAATCACTATATCTTTGGAACCAAATGTTGCAGACCTTAGATATTTCAATCAACAAATCTGAGTTTTAAATATAAAAGGTTCACAACATTGAGTTCTAAAGATATTGAGGTTTAAATATTGGATTTTGTTCCTTTCACGGTGATAGTATCAAAAATGAGATTGCTAGTGCAAAAGCAGTAGAGTGGGTAAAAGTAGAAAACCTCCCTCATTTACATCTTAAAACCATTAATTATCTACAACTACTTTTTAATGAACCCTTGGTAAAGAAAACTTTCCTTAACCTAACTGATACCCCCCCCCCCTAGATTTTATCCTGTAAGATACCCCCCCCACCCCCTAAATTTTATCCTGTAAGTGTAACCGCCCTTGACCACAAGTATGTTCCCATCGTGTTTATTATAAAAGGCTAAAAAGGGAAATAACATATATGATTTGAAAAGGTTTTGCTATAGAACTCTTTAAATTTTCTCAATCAATGAGATATGCATGACCTAGATTCAGTACAATCTTTTAACCCTTGCATGATAATGATTAATATATTAAATAAGAGAATATTTATAAATGTATTTTAAAATCATGTTGGATTGTCAAGTAAAATACAGAAACCAGAAAACTCTAAACATAACAAAGATTTGTTTATGACAAATTTTCGTTCAGAAAAAAACTAATGTTTTTGAAAAAGTATGTTTAACAAATCATTCTTTCAGTGAGATAACGAAATTTTTTTTTGGAAAAAATTCGAACGTTTTTTTCGTATCCTTTTTTATTTCTCTGAATGATCCATTTTGTTCGTCAATTTTTGGTTTTTTTTCCTGAACGACACCTTTTTTAAAAAATATTTTGTTTGTTCTCAAAAATGTCGTTCGTTCAAAAAAACTCTCTAGAGTAGAGGTAGATTTCGCATCATGTAAATACATTTTACATTGTACAGAACAAATATATGTTTTTTATGAAACAATGACCTTTTAGTTAAACAATCTTTTCTTCATAACAAAACCTTAAAGATAATATTTCAAGGGACTATATAAAACGTAATTGAATGTGACCAAATATTTTCAAAGTGGCAAGCCAGATTCACAACAGTTTCATTTAAACATACAACTAATCAAGGATGTCAAAGTGATCATCATTAAAATCTAAAGATACACTTGTGAACATTTAACCATCGCCTTTGGATGCACATAGAAATAAACATTAATCAATCAATCAATCATACACTTGTGATTGCTGAACAATTGATTTGCAAGATATTTTTAATATTTACTTTGTAGAAGTCACCGAAGATAATACATAATACATTCAAATTTTCAAAAACAATATTTGTATATATGTAACGTTTAACAGAGATAACTGATAAACACAGAGTTCTCTGGCCTCGATGATATTTCAAAGAGTATACCGCTATAAATCGAGCACTGTCCTCTTTATGCACAAAGGGTAACTTAAAATTATGCTTACAGTCCCTTTAAGTTCATTTCAAAATGCTTCGTCTTTTGAAAGAAAAATTCTGGTGACAATTTGCTGAAAGGAGTATTGGAAATAACCACCCACCCACCCTCCTCTCGCTATGTTGGTTCTGTTACTATAGAATAAAATAAAACAATTGAATTTGATAACAATATAATAGTATTTTTGTTGTCGATAGAACTTTCATAAACAATAATACGTATCTCACCATATTGAGATAAAATTTGAATCTTCTTTTAAAAGATTTGGTTGCTGGGCCAGAAAGTTATACAATGCATTATTATGTAGCGCTTAGAATTATAACATATAGAGAACACAGATAATAGGCACACAACAAAACAAATATGTGCTCAGTTGAGTTTCAGCTTTGGAACAGGATGATCGTGTCTTTTTTGCTCTGCCTCACAGCTTTCACATTGATATTGGGTATGACCTTAACCGATATTTTAGTAGATTCAAAATCACAGATTGAAGTATAATATAACATAGTATAATCGCTTGGGAACCCAGCACTGCAAGGTTACTAAAAGTTATTCCCGCCGTTTACCCGCACTTTAACGATCTTACCGGGAAACTAAATTTTCGCCATTAAAGTCGACACGCTATGCTTAAAATCTAAAAACCAAGCTAAGAACATTTCCGTAGGCCTTCAGAGTTCTCCAATCAAAGTTTGAGGCAAATCGGTCAAGGGGTTCCTGAGTTATGATAGGACAAACAAACAGAGATAACAACTTTATAAAAAAAAATGCTTTTCCGGATTGTTAACCACAGCGATCAAAACTGAAATGCAAATTTTAAAAGTATGAATCTCTTACTTTTGGCGTTTAATTGTTTTAAAGAAGTAATTGGTAAAATTCTCAATGATTTTTGCTCAAGATCATGCAACCTTTAGCTTACTCCAAAACAGGCTACAAGGGCGCTTCACTCATAGTTTCTAGCATTTTCAAATGTTATTTTTAACTTGTAATTTAACCAATTTGGTCCACGGATCATAAAAAATAAGCATTTTATGCATTTATAAAACTTGTTTTGCTTAATTCTAATTTTTGTTGCAAAATTAAACATTACTTTTTAGCTTTGTATGTGAGAAAACATACAGAATGGAAGAACCCGCCACCTGGACCAAGAATACATCCCGTTATAGGTAAATACATCAAAAAATGAATCATGTTTTTGCCTGAAAGAATATTAATAGATATAAAAATAATTTTTTTACTGGGATTGAGTCGTTAGAAACAGACTTAAGTGTAATATCCTTATTTTCCATCACCCTATATCATGGTGTGTCCCTTAAAATTATTATAAAATATAAAATAAAACATGATTATTTAGGAGCTCTGCCAACAATGGTCAGTTTAGACCCAGTACCCCATCTAGGATTTCATTCTTTAAGGTAATTTTTTTATTGTGCTATTTGTGTTTTTTTAATCTCATGTATTCATTATTTTTGGAACATAATTTACATGAATTTATCAAATTTAAGAAGTTTGAAGTCTAAAATCTTTATATAAATTTTGCTTGTCTGTTTGTATCCAATAAAATTCTAAATGGCTGAACCAATCAGGCCTGAACTCAACTCCAAGAAATAGAATCGAAAAATTTTCCTTCAAAAAATTCCGATTTTTTATATCCACAACAAAATCATTAAAGTAGCAACAATTAAAAGTTGAAATCGAAGATGATACCTAGTATTTTAAAATTTACCGAAAAACTAAGTTTTTGCTATTTGCTATTAAAGTTGACCCCATCTACCTAAGTTACCCTTTTCTAGGTTTTGCTCTTCGAGCTGCAGCCATTTTATTTGTAAATCTTAATTTATGGATTTTTTGATTTAAATTTGCCTGTTTACTTAAAGAATAGATGTCTAATTCTATTAACTTTGACAAGCCATAAATCTTCCCAAGGGTCATATGAGTTGCCATAAAACTGTGAGCCCGATCAGTTCAGCCATTTTTAAGTTTATTGGATACAAAGAAACAATGAGACAAGCAAAGTATATGTATAGTAATTAAAGTTTATCAGTCTGATGTTTGGATGTCCGATCATAACTCAGGAACTACCTGACTTGTTCTGTCTTTACCACTCCCTGACTTGTCCTGTCCATGAAATGTCTCTATCAGAAAGGGAATTTAGTTAAACTTGAAATGTCCAGTCTATAGAAATGTCTTGCCTAGTGCCTATTCAGTGTCCATTTATGAAACGGTTTTTATTTAGTAAAATGTTTGGTCCTGTTGTCCGAGTACTCCTAGGTCTACAAAATATGGTTATACTGGGAAGGTATGAAGGTACGTCTTTAATAATTTTCAAAAAGTTTCAAAAATATATATATTTTTTTTCAGAAATTAAAGAGGCAACTTTTCATGAAGACCTTGATAGCAGGTAAAGAACAGGGGGAAAAAATAGTTATTCACACAAATTAGCGGGACTGTCATTAATATTTTAAGTGATTTTCAAAGGAACATGCCCGATTTACAACATTACTCTTTACAAATTTGATAAAAAATGTGGAAGATATCCTTGTACTTATAGCTAGAAAGGTCTTAATTCTGACAATTTTTCCAATTATGTTTCTGTAGTAAAATTACTTTTGTGGTGAACCCACAATAGTTTTCAGAAAGATAGACATGAATATCTAATTCATACTTAATCAGAAAACCCTTCTAAGGGTACCACTGTGAATCAGCTATTCACTCTATTAAAGGAAAGTCAATTGAAAGTTTGTTCATGCAGTCTCTTTAAATGTTAATTAAGAAGTTTGACTTTAATCAATAAGAAAATTATGTTCAGGGCTTATTTTTCCACTGGATCATTGATCAGATTTGGCTTTAATCCCACATCATCTATTTCTTTCTTTGGAACTCCATTGCAAGACAGTGGAATTGATCAAGTAACCCAGGTAAGTTAAAAAAGGGTTTAAGATTGGGGGGAGGGAGTGTTTTTTCCACCCTCTCCACCTCCTCAAGTTATTTTCTAAATAACAACTGACATCAGAACATTAAAACTTCTTTACTTTTTCAACTTCATAATTAAAAACAAATTAGTCAAATGGGGGGTCGGTGTTTAGAAAAAATCTGATTTGGTTAATAACTTTTTTATTAATTAATCTAAAGGGTTAAAACTTATATATTTATAAAGACCTTGAAAAATGGATGTAATATCATGTGCCACATGTTAATATTTGTAAAAAGTAAAACTATGTCTTTGAACGTTTTTCCGATGTACTTTTTGAACTTCTTGCAAATCCTCTCTTGAACCCTAACTATTTAAAATCGATGATTAATGAGCTGGTCTTGAAAATTGCTCTAGCCCAATCGGAACAGGGTCAAACTTAAAAATAAACAGAAAATTTATTGTGTTTTATTTCAGTGGAAAGAGCTAAGAAGATTTACTTTGAAAACCCTTCGAGATATGGGATTTGGCAAGTCAGCTTCAGCTGAATCAATGGTTTATGAGACAACAATTCTTATGGACTTTATCAAAAAGGAAATTGTTTTTTTTTAAATACTTTAAACAGCGGATAAATTGATATTCAGTTAAGAAATTTGTAATGGTTGAAATTGGTATGCATGTGCAAACGTTTCTGAAGGCTTGAAATTAAGAACAAAAAGAAGTGGTTGTGCAAGCAAAGATCAACTTGAAACCAGTAAAAAAACACTTCCCCATGAAAAAATCCTAAAAACTATATCAATTAATATGGTATTTTTAATTTAAAGATAACAAAAGTTTTGCTATTTATCGGTTGTTATCAAGACACATTTTTTTTAAATCATATATTTGCCATGAATTAGTAAAACAGATTTTTTTAATTAAAACAGTTATGGTATAGAGAAGAAATGAAGAAACAGGAATTGTAAAAAATATTGGTAAGTCATTTTTTATGTTTAATTTTTCAAATATTTTAATCTTCTTATGTTTAGGACAAATATTTAGCTGTGCATCTTTGAATGTAATCTGGAACCTAATAGCAGCAGGAAGATTTAATTATGATGATGAAAACATGTTCAAACTTATAGGTATTTATTTTTGTCAGTACTTCTTAAGTATCTTTACTCTTTACTCCGACTTTTAAACCAAATGAACACACAATTATTCATTGAATCCCTAATATTTACATATTGCAACCCAAAAAACAGAGTTGCAATATAAATGTAAATGTTTGCATTGTTACTTTGCATCCCTAGATTTGCATCATTACTTTGCATTGGTTCCAATGTTACATTGCATCCCTAGGGTTGCATTATTACATTGCATTCATAAAGAGGCAATGTTACATTACATTCCTAGGGTTGCAATGTTTTTTTGAATCCCTAGAGTGTTGTAACATACCTTGGCATCTAAACCTAGTGTTACAACGTTATTTTGCATCTAGCCCTGGGTTGAAACATTATTTTGCATGTCTAGATTTGCAATGTTACATTGCAAACCTAGACATGCTTTCAGTAACATGTAACAATAGTTTCGCATTTATAGCTACAAAATTAATAGATTAATTTACTAGCCAATTTTTCAGAAAAAATTCAAGTTTAAACAAACTCAAAATTAAACATTTTCTTTGTCCTTAGAACATACAAATGCATTCATGAGGTTGGGTCGAGATGTTATTGGAAAACCTTTTGGAAGTATCCCATTTCTTAGGAACATTTTAATAGTTTATAACATAAATTTTAATTCAGTTTTTCCAGTTGCGGACAACCTAATATCCAAGTGTGAAATTTTGATTAATTCAAACTGTGCCTAACAGGGGCCAGCACTGAAGTAATGGCTCACCCCTGATAAATTGTTGACTCCTATAAAAAATTTTGAGTTGGCTCATCCCAGTAAATTCCTTTATACCAGTACCACCCCTGGTATCTTTTTATTGACAATTCAATAAGTATGAGGTTAATCGTATTTAGCACTGATTTGGTTTAATTCTATGTTGAATAATAATCATATCTTTTATTTTTGTTATAATTATTATTTGTTAGATTCTTTCCTCCCTACAAAGCAAAATTTGATAGTTTGTTGGAAGGAATAACACACTTCAAGGTAAGCCTGAACAATACTAAAATTCCTTTCCCAAATTAGTTAAATTTTCCTTGAAGAGACTGTTAACGTATTTTAAAGTGATCCTCTGTTGATAATATGGCATATCCAACTTATTAGTATGAAATAAATATTCATGTTTTTGTTTTGAAAACGTATTTTTTTCATTTGTTTGCACTACAGAAGTGACTTAGACATTTATTGCTTCATAAATGAAGGAGAAATTTTAAGGATTAAACACTTAATGAGAAAAATGAGGTTATATTCCACATTATAGATAAGGATAGAATATCATGGATACTGAATAATGTTGTTAATCAGGAATGACCCTTTTAAAATGGAGGGTCTCAGTGTACATCTAGCTTTCAGAGCAGCAACTGGCCCTGGCTCAGTGCTTCTAAATGTACTCAGAGTTACAGGGTGAGGGAGAGAAAATAGCAAATGAGAGAAACTTTAGCCAAGGTTATATATCCCCCGATACACCCCAGCACACAAATGGAAAAAAAATAAACGGAACTACAAGAAACATTGAAGGCCTGCATTGATCTTTTAAAGCTGTATTAACCTGGAGAATGGAGGTTTTCTACCTAGCTGGATCCAGATTTTACTATTAGCAGCTTTAAATATACTCCTTAAAAAAAACCTGGTTAGCTCTTAATAAGTATCCGAACTCGTCAGAAAGAAGTTAATTCTTTTTATTGAATCTGTTTCTATGTGTAAACATCAAGGAAGTTCAGAACAGTCAGGTTCTTATAAAACTCTCTCCAGTTTCTTGTGGCTTAACAAAAGCCTGTGTAGAATTACTTGGCAGTACACCCTACTAGGAAATTGCCAGAATCAATGAAAATGGAAATATAGAAAGTAGAATCCTGATAGATGCTCCATGCACATTGATATCGGTTCATACTCTGCCAGCTACAATGAAAAGATTGCTGTAGATGAGGCCATTATTTAAAGCACTGTTTCCAAGATGAACTTACAAGAATCGGGAATTCTTTTGTTGAAAATATCGTCTCCTAGCCTAACCTTTCCTATCCCATTTTTCATCATTAAGGCAGAATTCTGGCAATGGAATACCTCAGAATTTTCAAACCCCACTTTTATTTTTCCATAAATATGTGTCAAAATGCATTTTTTCGTTGTCTACAAGAAACTAGAATGTGTAGATCTAAAAGAGTAGAACAGAAACAGATGTATGATCAGATAAAAAGAAGATAAAAGGGTTATAGAAAAACAAATTCATTGCTCTTTTTAAATTTTGTCTTAAAAAAATTTTAATTAAAAAATAAATTGTTTAAAATAAATGGAAGGTCACATAAAATTACAGACAGTCCCTTTGATGGCTCCAATATAGCAATCAAAACTCTTAGCATGTGGAGGAAACATTTCAATTTTTTTTATAAAATATGTTGCAGGAAAGTTTACAAGAAACTGTAACAGAACGTAAGATGAAAATGGTTGCAGAGGATCCTAGTTGCTACATTGGTAAGTGAGTATGTAGTATGTATGGATGCAGAGGGGTGTTTATTTTTTGAAAAATCATTCCCCCTTCTCTCTGAAAATCCTTAAAATGTATGATGGGTGTAAGTTCTGAGATCCAGGTTTATCTTAAAAAAGAGGGTGTACAATTTATGTTTTTGAAAAAATAATGAATTTTCATAATCAATAATTTAAAGTATTAATAATTTAATTATATCTAGATGATTTAGAACACATTCCTGATTTAAAACGCCTTCCTGACACATTCTTGATAATAAGAATGGGATCCTGATTTTAAATATTCTTTTAAGCTAATTTTCATTCCGTTCCAATATTTTAAGAATGCATTCTTTGGGTTCCATTCATTTCAAAACGATGGGATCATTCTTGATAGTTCCGTTCTTTCTTGTGAAAGCGATTGTTCTTAAAGAATGAAGCCCAGTCCCAAGTTCACAGGGAATTATAAGCCTCTGTACTTATCACTCATTCTTTTTTCACCTGTCTCCTAGTTACCTTGAGTGTACAATTATGTTTATTCCTAATTTATTATAGTTGGAGATAACTGTAAAAAATCAAACATGCCACTGGCTCACTAAATTTCGATTTTTTATAGCCTATGTTACCCCTGGGTTACCCATGAATTCCCTCAAAAAAATGTCAGCCAATTCAATTCAGCTGTTTGATCAGCTATAGCTAACATATAAATATATATACATAGATACATACAAATGCATGTAGTATGCATCACACAGGACTAAGTCTATGAAGAAACCATCACAAGAGCTGCCTAATTAATTACAGTTTAATCAACAGAGACCATACTGCAGTCAATACCCTGCACCAAAGTTTGTTCTTTACATAAAATAATCAAAATGTATGTCCGACATGGTTCCTACTTATTTTTAAGATTAGGCTTAAGAATCCTATCTTTAGATGCATTTTTGGACAAAGTTCTGAAAGATGAGACTGGAATCTATACAGAGGACCAACTGGTTCACATATGTATGGATATGTTTCTGGCTGGAGCAGAAACTACCAGTAAAACACAGGAGGTGAGTCAAACTGAAATGATAACATCAGTATATAATATTGTGTGACCCTTTTTATAGTTTCTTTAAAGATAATGTACTAGCCATAATGTTTTGACTGAAATAATCAATATCAAACAAGGAAAAATTGAAATAATCTTTATCTTGCCTATGCTGAATTCTTAAGTCAACAATTATTTAGGTCTGTTTAGTGAATAATTTTTGACATATGCATTATGCATGGTTTAAAATGTTGTACTCTTAGATACACACTGATTTAGGCAGCTATAAAAAAAATGTTCATCAACTTTTTGAGCAAGATCTAGTTTGGTGTAATTCGAGTTTCAATGCATAGCTTTGGTTCACCTTTCTAACTCCATAATACTTCAAAAGAAATAATTCGCAAATTTTGCATAAGAGGCTACTCATTTTGAAACACAGAGGGCAAAATTAATATTACGGTCTGTTGATGTCAGTGTAGTGACCCGTAATTTAAATTATTTTTTAGTTCATTATTGCAATGATGCTGAACTATCCTGAAGTTCAACAAAAAGTTCAAGATGAGATGGATTCTGTAATGAAAGACAAGCCTGCTATATCTTGGGAAGACAAGGTATGAAGGTCAATCAATTGTTGATAAAGAAGAAATTATTAAAAGAGGCTATTTCTTAAACCCAATAGTAGTGAATATCTTAATAACTATTTATATTGCCAATCCAACTTTTTATGAGTCCGAATGGTATGGTTGTTTTTGATTCCACTGAAGTTGGCTAGCATTTTGTATTTTCAGAGAGCTGAATTGTCAATGACAAATAAAAAATAAATATAATCTTTTTATAACAAAAATTTTTACAAATGGTTACATAAAAAGAAAGAATTTCTTGAGAAAAATTCAAAAGAATTCTCAGGACTTTTTTTAAACTAAGTCTCCTTCTAAGTTCCTCCAAAAAATCTGTAAAATTAGCAAACAAGTTCTGAGGAATTTCCAGGAAAATTCCAAAGACCTTGAAGGAAAAATTTCCGAAGAAATCCATTAGAGTTTCTTGGGAAAAATTAAGGAAAAATTAAGGAAAAATTATCAGGATTTCCTCAAAACTGTGTCTTTAAAATCTGATCCCCAAAAAATCTAACAAATTGGTGATCAATTCTGGATAATTTCAGAGGAATGTTCTTAAGAAATTCCCTGGAAATTGTCCAAAATTAGTCACCAAGGCGGGGGATTTTCAGGAAATTCCTCACTTTTGTTACCTGGGTAGTTCCACATTTTTATAAACTATATTTTAATCTGGTTTTACCCTATTCAGTTATAACGATACAATAATCATTGTATGATGAAAGCTGTGATTGTGTAATATTTTAGGAGAAGCTCCCTTACGCAGAAGCTACAATGGCAGAGATCTGGCGTGTTTGCAACATTGCCCCTTTTGGTCCACCCAGAACAGGTTAAAGCATTACTAAACTTTCAATACAAAGCAGTCAAATTGCAACCGGATCCATTTGCATAGTATCAACATTTTTTTTTTATCATTTTCTGCATATCCAAGAGTATGACATCATTTTTTTTCTAGCTAAAAAAGAGGTTCAGTTTAAGGACTACAAGCTGCCACCAAATGCTTCAGTATTCTACAACACATATACTCTACATATGGATGAAGATCATTGGGGGGATCCTCTACAGTTCAGGCCAGAGCGGTAATACTTGCTTTACATTGTTTAATTTACCCCATGCAACATTAACATCACAAAATAAACCTTTCCCTGGCAATGTCCTCCATCTTAAACATTTTTTCCTAATTTCTTAAGTTTGACACAGCCCTCAAATAATATATCTTTCAACATCGTTTAGCCTGACAATTTCAGCTAACACTTCTTTAACCTTCTCTTGAATCCCTTGAAGAGTTTTAGAATATTCTGCTTCAATTCTTAGTTAACTGAATAATCAATATTAGATTTGTGGAAGGGGGCAAGTTTAAGGCAGATGAGATGCTTTTTCCATTTGGTATTGGGCGCAGAAGGTAAGTTTTATATCAATATGAATCCTTTTTATTTATTGGTTAAACTTCAAATATATATTTAGATGCTTAGGAGAGACTATGGCAAGAATGGAAAACTTTATTTTCTTTGCTAACCTCATGCTCAACTTCAAATTCTCCATGGTATGTTTTTAGGATTTTATTTAGGATTTATAAAAATTTATTTGTGTAGAAAAATCAAATAGGAAGTAGCATCAACTACAAATCTTAAACAACTTCTAAAAGAATTGAGTCTTTGCCATAAACTCTGCTTTTCTAAATCATGTATCTTTGGATTCCAATGTCGTAGGACCTTAGATATTTCAAACTATGAATTCTGTTAGATCAAATAATACAAGTTTGAAATATCAAAGATTTACGACATTGGGTTCAAAAGATATAGGCATTATAAAATCAGAGTTTGTGGCAAAGACTCAATTCCTTTAAACAAATTATGAATAATTGTATGTATAACAAAGGTTTTAAACCCCAAGAATGTAGTTTGAGTTCCTGATGATAAACTTGATTTTGCTGTAGGTAGGGAATGCTCCCCCGAGCCTAGAACCACAATCTGGGTTCACAAATGGACCTTTTCCATTTGAAGTTAAGGTAGAAATTAGAAGCAGATAGTACAGAGCTCAGAAAAATGTTTGATAAAAAATTTAGAAAAATAGATTTATGTTTATAATCTCGTGAAACATGCTCAAAATATCTTTGTATAGCACGTTATTCGTATCTATGAAATAAATTATAATTTGCTAGAAAAGTAAATAATGATATTTAGAGATAAGATAAAGATTTTCTTTTTCAACATTCTGAGAAGCTAAGGTTGCAAACATTTTCTGATTTTTATTCATGTACAGCACGCACCCCTGACCATTCAGTAAAAGAAAATTCAACCTAAAGTCTGACCACTTCAACCTTGTTGCACCGGCTAGTTATATTGAGTGTATGCTTCATTTACACAATGTCTGGGTGATACAGTACAATCTAGGTACGGAAAGGTTGACCCGGCTTGGTAATTCAAATGTACTACGGCTGCCCGTAAAAGCAAAGTATTTTTCACATTTTACGAAACCAAATCTTGGAAAATTTGTATTTTTTCTTACCTACTCAGAACCAGAACCTCACAACCGTATAAATACCAACATCAAAAAAGACATTTTTATCAAACTGAAATGGTTGTAATTTTAACTCATTGTACACTTTAAAGTGTACATTTGCAAAAATGCCTCAATAAATACACTTATCAAAGGAATACTTATCACAGGAATACTTGTCAAAGGTATACTTGTCAAAGGAATACTTGTCAAAGGAATTCTTGTCAAAGGAATACTTGTTAAAGGAATACTTGTCAAAGGAATACTTGTCAAAGAAATACTTGTCAAATGAATACTTGTCAAAGGAATACTTGTCAAAGGAATACTTGTAGAAGGAATGCTTGTCAAAGGAATACTTGTCAAAGGAATACTGGTCAAAGGAATACTTGTCAAAGGAATACTTGTAAAAGGAATACTTGTCAAAGGTATACTTTTTAAAGGAATACTTGTCAAAGGAAAACTTGTCGAAGGAATACTTGTCAAAGGAATACTTGTCAAAGAAATACTGGTCAAAGGAATACTTGTCAAAGGAATACTTTTCAAAGGAAAACATGTCAAAAGAACACTTGTTAAAGGAATACTTGTCAAAGGAGTACTTGTCAAAGGAAAACTTTCCAAAGAAATTCTTGTGAAATAAACACATGTGTAATACTTGTTAATGGAATACTTTTCAAGCAAATACTTCTCAAAGGAATAATACCATCATAGAATTGCTTGTCAAAGAAATGATGTTTCACGAAATCCTCAATAAATACACTTATCAAAGGAATACTTATCAAAGTAATTCTTATCACAGGAATACTTCTCAAAGGAATACTTGTCAAAGGAATACTTGTCAAAGGAATACTTGTCAGAAGGAATACTTGTCAAAGGAATACTTTTAGAAGGAATGCTTGTCAAAGGAATATTTGTCGAAAGAATACTTGTCAAATGAATACTTGTAAAAGGAATACTTGTTAAAGGAATACTTGTCAAATGAATGCTTGTACTTGAGTACTTGTCGAAGGAAAACTTGTCAAAGAAATTCTTGTGAAATAAACACATGTTTAATACTTGTTAATGGAATACTTTTCAAGCAAATACTTCTCAAAGGAATAATACCATCATAGAATTGCTTGTCAAATTAAAATGATGTTTAACGAAAAACTTGCCAAAGAATTGTAAATCAAAAGAATAGAATTGAATGTTTGTCACATAAAAATTTGTCAAAGAAAAACTTATTAATTAGGAGCGCTTGTCAAAGAAATACTTGTTAAAGAAATGCTTGATTTAGGAATAGTTGTCTAAGAAATACCTGTCAAAGGAATATGCTTATCAAAAAAATACTTGACAAAGTAATAATCTTTAAATCTTGTTTTCCTTCACAGGATTACATTACTTTACCTTAAGATAATTATATGTATGTACTTTATCATGCGTACAGTACATTCAGATTTAGATGGTACAATAATGGTGGTCCTGGAGTGAAATACAAGTCTACATTTAAATAATAGATAATGAAAATTCAATATAGAGGAAACCGGTGCTCCCGTACTCCGAGTCCGAGTGTACAGTGAACCAACCATCAGCTGACTGCTGACTACTACTAGAGAATCCCTCTCTCCTTCCTTCTAAATATCTATCTATCTATCTTTTGTCATTCCTTCTATCTATCTATCAACTATCATTGATTTTCTTCCATTATAGGACCCTACAGGGATTATTATGAATACGACAAGGGAAATGGTGATAAAGTTTGTTGGGAAAAATTAATGAAAAATTAAGGAAAAATTATCAGGATTTCCTCAAAACTGTGTCTTTAAAATCTGATCCCCAAAAAATCTATCAAACTGGTGACCAATTCTGGATAATTTCAGAGGAATGTTCTTAAGAAATTCCCTGGAAATTNAATTGGATGTTTATTTTATAGTATACAAGGAAAATTTTCATAATTCAGTTTTTATCTCAAATTTTAAAATTTTGTAAGACAGAAAATTTTGATAATTTTAATATTACTACTCACGTTCATTGATTTTGAATTGTCTGGACAAAATATTGAAACTAAGGCAATGTTTCTGCAAAATATTGAAACTAAGGCAATGTTTCTGCAAAATATTGAAACTAAGGCAATGTTTCTGCAAAATTGAATAGATTTTATAATACTGAAACATATTTATTACATTTTATGTATTCATGTATAATCAACATGCGAAAGAACAAGAAAACAGTTTACTATGAAAATCTTACCCCAGGACAAATATTTCTCCAAGAAGGTTAAATTTGGTTGGTCTCAGGGAACAACTTTAGTAAAGAAATAGCATATATATAAACTATACAGTTATACAGAATAATAACAAATTTTGAAAAGTTTGATTACATTATATCTCAATTTTTCAAGATTTTACCAAGCAACTTATTTACAAAAAAGGGGGGGCAAATTCGTCATTGTACCCCTCTTTAGGAGAAAGGGGGGTGCACCTGACCCCTTGCCCCCCCCCCTTCCCCCGGGGTACGGGCCTTAGTCTGGCCAGTGGCCACATTACATTTACTTAATTTAAAAAAAAACCCTGCACTCCTAACCACGTGTAGTCCGCGTATAAGTGCAAAATTGTCCCACAAAATATGACAGTTGTGAATATTCTTAAATGTCTTCTTCCATCATTTGCAAAATTGTTTAATACCAACCAGAAAACAAAAAAATGACATGTAATTTAGAAAGTCATATTTTAGTAAAATTAATTTTAAAGTAAATGCGTCAAATTTGCGTAGATTTTCTGATGCGCTATCTTTAATTAGCAAAGTCTTTGGTTTAAACATTATTATGTAGAGAACGGGCTCTGATAAGTTTAATTTTCAATAAATAAGGGTGGAAAACTATAGCGTAGCAATGTTATGTTTACATTATTGCTAATATGCAATAAATAAACAAATATAATATAATGCATGATGCGGGATTAGAATTCAAACTTTCATGCAGGATCAATTAAAATAATAAGTCAAGACACCTGGTCGATAATGTGACCTAGCTGGTCGATAATGTGACCTAGCTGGTCGATAATGTGGAACAAATTATACACTTGTAAACTGCAACACTCGACGGCTTAAGGGGGGGGGGAGAGTGGACGTCCCCCCCCCTGGAAAAATTAGGAGCGCAAGAAGTGAGAGAATGCACATTTTAGCCTTCTAATTTAGAAAATAATTGGCCAGCAACTTTAAAGTGCTAAAACACAATATACAATGTTGCCCATAAATGGTGAAACTGCCAAAACTACCTAAAACGATCTAAGATTATTTAAATATCCTACCTTGAATAAGGCTTTATATAATGGCCATCTTATTTAATGAAAGAATGGTAACAAGTCTGCATAAATTTCGTACTTTTTATCTCAAGTCTCATCCTAAGAGGGTTACTCTCTATCAAAATATGTTTAAAATACAATTCCAAAACACTTCCGAGTTGACTTTGTTGTCTCTATATGTACGTATACAGTCCAAACCAAATAAGCTTTATTATCATTTAGAAATACAGAAACATTACGTTTAACTAATAAACCCATAAAAAAGCTGGTGGGTGGGGGACGCCCCCTCTAGTTTTATTGTTCTAGCCCTGGTATTTTTGACACTATTGCCTTGATTTTTTTACTTAACAAAATGTTAGTTGATGTTAAAAAAATCTAAAAAAGCATTTATGTTGTTAGAGCTACAATTATAATAATTACAGTTTGATGGATGTATTAACTTGGGTCACGTGTATAATTATTTGTCAAAAACCAAAGATTGAGCTTTTTTACATTTATTCGTTTTTACTTTGTCATTTTCTTTAAAACCACCCTAGCACCCGAACTATTAAAGTTAGTAGTCTATTTTTGTTAATGAGTTTGTATTGAAAATATGGGTTTATGTCGAACATGTATTGCAGCTCCATACCTTAACCAGATGTTAGGCCTTTTTCTAAAAACATGGTCGGGTTAACTTAATAATTTGTTAAACAAATTTCGAGGTCTGTGCCACTGCCAGCACGTGCAATTTGATCCGGTGATTGGCTGTTAAGCGACGCGGTTCAAATTCATTAAATTATAAATAATTTTGAAGTAAAATGTAGATTTTTGTTAGTGTAAATATTTTTAAGAATTTACCTTTCTTCGAAGCTGTTACTGAACATGTTTGTCATTTTTATTAATATTATGATTTATCCACAATTGTTCACTGTTTACTAAACTTTCAAATCGAAGACTTACTTTCAAAGATATATAATAAATATAAAATGTTAAACACTATAACATATCACTTTGTTATTACTGTGCACTCCTTGCTTGATGGTACATAATATCACTCTAAGTACATATTTTCAGTACTTAGTATAGTTCACTCAGTACTAAATGTACATGTATGTATAAATATAATATAATATATAGATGGTTACTAGGCTTGATTTATATAGACAGTGCTTTGGCCACTGAATACACACACATATAGATACGCTAACATACAGCTGACTTTCCCGACACACTTTCTCCGTAAAAAACACATATCAACATAGAGGGTAAATCACAATTAGGGGTTAAAGCGAAAGGAAAAATTCTTTTCGCGAAAATTTTGCATTTTTGCGACCATTTCGTTTCATTTTGCATTTCGTTTGCTTCAAAAAAGGCAAAAATTTTCGAGAAATAGAAACTGCGAAAATTACGCGTTAAAATTCGAAAATACAAAATTTTTAATACAAATATACAAAAATTTCCGCTTTTTTCGCAAAATTTCGTTTCAATCTGTTTTACGAAAAGGAGCAAATTTTTCGGGAAATAGAAACTGCGAAAATTTTGTGGTTTAATGCAAAAACTTCGCGAAAAATGCCAAAACTTCGCAAAAAATAATGCGAAAATTTAAACATTTATTTAAGTAAAGAAAGAGAAATTATTTATATGACGTCAGAGCAGAGAATTCCACAAGTTCTTATGAGCAATTACTTATTGCACCTATATAGTTTACACAATATTTTCGCATTTCGCGAAAAAGATTTCGTATTTTCAAGAAATGTTCGGATTTTGCATTTTGCGAAAATATTTTCGCATTTTCGCGAAATTTTCGCAATTTTCATTATCGCGAAAAAAAATTTCGCGAAAAGTTTGCGAAATACGACCGAAAATTTTTGTATTTTTTCGCGAAATGTTTCCTTCGCTGGAAACCCTTATTACAATTGATATTACGCAATTTAAAATTGCTTTCCGGTACAATGCACAACGATTAAATAAAATCTTTCCAGTTTAATGCAAACTCATTATAGTTATTTAGCATATATATAGTCAAACCCCGTATAAATTCAAACCATGTATATGTTCAAACCATGTATATGTTCAAACCATGTATATGTTCAAACCATGTATATAGTCAAACCATGTATATGTTCAAACCATGTATATTTTCAAACCATGTATATAGTCAAACCATGTATATGTTCAAACCATGTATATGTTCAAACCATGTATATGGTCAAACCATGTATATGTTCAAACCGTGTATATGGTCAAACCATGTATATGTTCAAACCATGTATATAGTCAAACCATGTATATGTTCAAACCATGTATATGATCAAACCATGTTGGCATATTAGCACACTGCAAATCTAGATGTGCACGTTAACACAAAAATCGAGCACTATTTTGCCAACTTCTCTTTTTAACCTTAAAGGAGGATAAAGGAAAAATGAAAGGGGATATAGGATGAAACCTGAGTATCTCAGGTTTATACAAAATTTGGCATATGCCCATTTTGGTAAAATTTTGACACAGTTTTATGTCAATTTCTCGAAACAGGAACATCAGATAGATGTCTTATATGTATCGTTCAAAACCTCAGATTCTCAGGTTTCATCCTACACCCCCTTTCATTTTTCCTTTACAGTCCCCTTAAGCTAGAAACAGACACGTAGTATTTTTAAAATGTATATGTCTAAGTCTAGAAAAAAAGGAAGCTTTGTCTGATCAATTATTGCATTAAATATCCATGTTTCCCATCTTGAAAACTGATTATTTTCATTTGTGGTTTCGCTACAAAAGTGACTCATGCATTTCAATTGCTTCAGAAACGATGGAGAAATAAAGGTTTCAGAGGTACATCGGACATGCCACTCTATAAATGGAGAGTCAATTGAAATTACGCATGTATTACGTATAAGTTTAATTACATCATATAAAAAAAATCTCACTTTTGCCCTTGACTAACACATTTTTTTAAAAAGCTTTTATCAATTCTGCCTTCAGTGTAAATATAGATTTGATATTATTATTTATCTAATAAATCCCAAATAGGTTGTCAAGTAGAATAGACGGCAACACAGAATGCGTACACTTTCAGTACAGCTGTTTAAACGTCATAAGTGTCAACCCAAATTTTCTGTCTGACAAAACTATAAATAAAAGTGATATTTTTAGACTAAAGTGCTTATCTTTTAGCGAAATTAGTGCAATTTTATGTGTTCTTTATTTCTGTTTTTACACTTTTTCATTTAACGTTCTATAGACTAAATAACAGGGTTGAAACTGATATTGTACATAACCCTTTAACATTGTAATTCGAAAGTATAACGTTAAAACATATTTNAGACTATTTAGTTTACATAGATATACAGTGAAAAAAAATTAAGCCACCAAATGACAGTAAAAATATTCTATCTAATTTTGAGTTGTAAATATTTTTTACGTATTCCTACAAAGACGACATTTATCTCCACCAAATCTCTGAAATAATACAAACTAATTAGAGGACATGTCGTCTTTCTTTTTTCATTTGACACATATGACGTTGTGCGCAGTTGGTCGATTTTTCTGTTGCCATCTATTGTACTTGACAACCTATTTGATAAATCCCATCTCTATTTTTCACCACAGCATTAAGAGGGTGTGTCTGATGAGTCCCCTTAAAACAAAATTAACACTTGGGATGGAACCGTTTTCCACTATAAGAACACAACGAACGAAATGGAACAGGATGGACTGTTCTGTTACTAAGAATACCTAGAACGGAATAGAATGTGAATAGAACGATTGGAAAAATAACAATTTATAAAAGTCGGAACGTGCCCAGCCCTACATGTGTATAATCAAAATGCGGTCTTATAAGTCGGGTTTCCTGAAGGCATTTTCCCAAGGGCGACTTCCTAAAGAACAATTTCCCAAGCGGCAACTTCACAAAGGTTAGGTTAGGCCTTCTGAGGCGCCGCAGGCTGCAATGGGGGCAGAGCACTGCGGCTAGGAAGGGCTAGGGGGCCGAGCGCCGCGGCTAGAACAGACTGGGGGCCGCGCGCCGCGGCTAGAACCGACTGGAGGCCGACCTCTGCGGCTAGGAAAGACGTGGGAAGTTGCCGCTTGGGAATAATCCTTTCGGAAAGTTTAATTACTTTGAAGCTTCTAAGCTGAAGTTTAATTTTTAATAAATAAGAATTGATGAGTTTTAATTAGTTTAGGAAGAATTTTCAATCTACAAACCTTAAAAATTTGTCTGTCAATTCTTAATTGATTTTTTTTGCAATGAAAACATACTTTTCGCCATTTCTTAATCAAAACAATTTTGAATGGAAGCGAAATTTAAAAAAAAAATTCAAAAATTATTGAAAAATGTGTACACGGGTCACATAAAATGATTACATATCAATAGAGAATGATTTTAGATAATGATTTTTCCTATATCTGCATTTATTATCAAGATTATGTTGAAGGACATTTAAATCAATTCCCTCATTCCTCTATATAACGATTTTAAGTAAATCCAGATAAAGGATTCAAGCAGAATTTTGAGACTGAAAAACATAAACCACGAAGTTTTAATCAATTATAAACTAAACAGAACAATAAAAAACTACAGTGAGACTCGGTAAACATTAAAGACGATCTGCAATCACTGTAAGATTCAGCTTAACACTTCAAATTTCGCAAACATTTTATTTAATGATTGTTCAGGCAATTAATCAGTTATTAATACAAACTCAAAACTAAAATTATAATTTTATGTCCATAAATTTATTTTTATTAGCCATAGGCCAAATAGTGAAATATTATCATAATGCCGAATAGTGACTATAACATTAACCTAACGTAGGCCTAACAGTGAAATATAAACATGCATCACAGGGAGTATAATCATACTATGTACTTGTAGTCATCCTATATTCTTCAAACCTTTCTTGATTGATCTTCGAGACATGTTCATATCTGATCTTCTTCCACGAAATCTTGGACCTCCAAATACTGGACCGTCATAATCATAATATTCAAAGGCTCCTCCGAGAGGATTGTCAACAGGACCTCCAAGTGAACCTTCAACAGGAATTAAAGGTCCTCTACTACGGTTTCTGACCCTTAACAGTGGTCCTCCAAGTCCTAATCCTTCTTGTCCTCCAAGACTGCCTCCATGTCCACCAAGACCGCCTCCATATCCACCAAGACTGCCTCCATGTCCACCAAGACCGCCTCCATGTCCACCAAGACCGCCTCCATGTCCACCAAGACCGCCTCCATGTCCATCTAGACTGCCTCCATGTCCACCAAGACGGCCTCCATGTCCACCGAGAGCGCCTCCACGTCCACCAAGAGCGCTTCCATGTCCNATCCTTCTTGTCCTCCAAGACTGCCTCCATGTCCATTTAGAGCGCCTCCATGTCCATCAAGACCACCTCCATGTCCATCTAGACCGCCTCCATGTCCATCTAGACCGCCTCCATGTCCATCTAGACTGCCTCCATGTCCATCTAGACTGCCTCCATGTCCACCAAGACGGCCTCCATGTCCACCGAGAGCGCCTCCACGTCCACCAAGAGCGCTTCCATGTCCACCAAGACCTTTTCCAAGTTTACCAGGGCTTTTATTTCCACCCAAAAGGCCATGCTGAATAGTGTGAATGGCATGAGACAGATCAGATATTAAATCTCGCCGTTCTCTTAATATTCCCAGATTGTAGAGGGAAGAAGAGTTCAAACAGGAAGCTCCCTTAACACAGAAATAGTTAGTAATTCAAATCTTTACGAACATTCATAACTTTAACTTCCAAAATACAACTCCCTCCTAACCTAGAAGAATGCTCCAATACAACTGCCTAACCTAAAAGTATGCTCCAATACAACTGCCTAACCTAGAAGAATGCTCCAATACAACTGCATAACCTAAAAGAATGCTCCAATACAACTGCATAACCTAGAAGAATGCTCCAATACAACTGCCTAACATAAAAGAATGCTCCAATACAATTGCCTAACCTAGAAGAATGCTCCAATACAATTGCCTAACCTAGAAGAATGCTCCAATACAATTGCCTAACCTAGAAGAATGCTCCAATACAACTGCCTAACCTAGAACTATGCTCCAATACAACTGCCTAACCTAGAAAGAATGCTATAATACAACTGCATAACCTAAAAGAATGCTCCAATACAACTGCCTAACCTAGAAGAATGCTCCAATTGCCTAACCTAGAAAGAATGCTCCAATACAACTGCCTAACCTAAAAGAATGCTCCAATACAACTGCTAACCTAGAAAGTATGCTCCAATACAATTGCCTAACCTAAAAGAATGCTCCAATACAATTCCCTAACCTAGAAGAATGCTCCAATACAACTGCCTAACCTAAAAGAATGCTCCAATACAATTGCCTAACCTAAAATAATGCTCCAATACAATTCCCTAAACTTGAATATGCTTTAAGACAACTTCCTCAACTAGATGTTCCAATACAACTCCCTAAACTATAAGTATGTTTTAAAACTCCAGAAACTCAAAGTATGTATATTAATACAACTCCATAAACTAAAACTATGCTCCAATACAACTCCATAACTAAAAGTATGTTTTAATACAGCTTCTTGAAAGTATATTTCAATATTACTCACTGAACTAAAAGTATGTTTAATTCAACTCCCTGAACTAAAAGTATGTCTAAATGCATCTACCTAATCTAAAAGTAAGTTTTAATTCAAATCCCTGATCTAAAAGTATGTTTAAATGCTTCTCCCTAAACTAAAAGTATGTTTTAATACAGCTTTAGAGTATATTTCAATATTACTCGCTAAACTAAAAGTATGTTTTAATTTAACTCCCTGAACTAAAATTTACTAAAGTAAAGGTGTAATTTAATATAACTTTCATAACCAAATATGTTTAATCAAGAGCTATGGTTTAATACCACTCCCTAAACTAAGTAAATTTCATTTCATCACGCTACTACTAACGCTACTACTAAATAGTTACTATTGCTGTATAATCGTATCCCAATATTCACCTAAAAATTACACCGATGTGAAATAATGCCACTCTTTCCAATTGAAATTCCCAGAGGGGACTGTAAGCGCAATTTTGTAAGACCCTCCATGCAAAGGTACCAATGCAGATTTTTAACGGTAACCTTGACACCTGAGATGGAATTTAAAGAATTTGAGCCGCGGTTTAAATCTGCCAAAACCCGGTTTAAATTAAGCGCCGGCTTAAATCTTGAAACATTTGATACAATTTTAAGTAGAACCAACCATATTTAAACTGCATCTTTAATTTAAACCGCCGCTCAAATTCTTTAAATTCGGCCACTGGTCTCTTATGCAAGAAATGCGCAATTAAAATTTCACAGAAAACCACAAAGAAAATGGAAATTTTAATAAACAAAGCATTAATAAAACTTAATCAGGCAAATGATACAGTTTAAAAATCGAACATTGCCATCAGAGAGTCATTTCGAATTACGTTTACAATCTTTTTATAAGTAAAGAGTGTGTTCAAGAAAAATGACAAGGGGGTATAGGCTTACGGCGAAAAATAATCCCTTTTGGTCGCTACCAATTGTCCTTTCTATGTGTTGTTAAAAACGACTTGTACTGAAGAACGTAGCATCCATACAAATTTAGAAAGTTGCAATATTCGACTCCGTTAAATAATTAAAATTTCAAACAAATCGTTCAGATATTACAACATGAAGTGATCAACTATTTTCAGACGCATTCTTTAGTTTCATTCGGTTATTTGTTTTATATACAATAAGACTTTTTTCCGCTAGGTATCTCTCCCACTCATAATCCTTCAAATCACCGAGAGTAGAGACATCTTGCAGCTAGGGTTGTTAATCGTTTTTGTATACGATCGTTTTTTGTTTCGTTTTCAATAACGATAGTTTCGTTTTCGGAAAAAACGATAGTTTTTAAAAACGACCCACTCGTTTTGAACTTTAAAAAATGAATAGCAATTGCAATTGAAAACGATAGTTTTATTAAAACGATTTGCGACAGTTTTTTATACGATTGTTTGAATTTTTTTTTATTGAAGTGTCGTCGTTAACGATCGTTAACGAAGGGTCGTCGTTAACGATCGTTAACGAAACGATGAAATTTATCAGAACGGTAGTTTTTGGAGAAAAAAATTACATGCAACTTTATTGAATGTCGTCTAACATGAAGTTTAACAGTTGTGGAGGAGTTAAAACTCCTTGATATTTTCTTAAGAACTACTCAATGATAGAAAATATGCCCTTCAGGTCGGTTTCCTCTCTTCGTTAACGATCGTTAACGAAGGGTCGTCGTTAATGATCGTAAATAAAGGTTCGTCGTTACGATCGTTAACGAAGGTTCGTCGGTAACGAAGAAGGTTCTTCGGTAACGATAGTTACCGAACCGACGAATTTTATAAATACGTTCGTTATGAAAAACGTTCGTTTTTAAAAAAGAGAGTTTTAAAAAACTAAAGTTTTAAAAACGAGCATTTTTAAAAACGAACTTGTTCAAAAAAAACTATACGTTTTTAAAAACGATCGATTTTTCGTCGTCGTTTTCATAACGAAACGATCGTATTTCCTAAAAATTAAAACGTTAACATCTCTACTTGCAGCTAACTATTTCGGCGTTTAAGTGTATTGTATCAAAGCGAATATTAAATATTAACTGTATACATTGGATAGATAAATAATAGATATATCTGAATGATTTGTGTAAATTTGAATTGATTTTTCTACGATCCTAGTCGTATATTACATTTTTCTGAAATTCTATGAAAGCTAAGATCTTCAGTTTTAGTCGTTTAACAATTTTCTCCATATAGACGCAACATATAGAAGTATAATTAGCAGCAATTAAAAGAGATTATTTTTCGCCATAAGCATATACTCCCATTTATTTTACGCGAACACTCCCTTACGCACATACCTGCAGTACAATTAGCATTAAGATGACGAAAGAATTCATTTTCATTTATTCTTCAATCAAATCTTGTCAGTGATCAAATAGGTAGATCAATCAGGTCACAACTATAAGGATCAATGATGATCAAAACATGATCAAGTCAAGTCTAAACACTGAGTGCTGAAGTTTGGTTGAGTTTGAAATAATGTTATTATATTTAATCCTGTATTTATATACAACTTGAAGTAAGTGTACTGCAACTTGTTTTGTAAACAAACTAGTTTCCAACTGTTACCAGGGGCAGCCAATTAAGAATATATTTAAAATAAAGACAAAATTTGGAAAAAAAAAGTTATATAAAGTGACGAAATAGATCCAATGGTTATTCAATATTCATGTTAAACATAAAATATAAATAAACTAGAATTTCTGGGCGCTATGCAACAATTTTAGAGTTTGAATATTGCTTTTCAAACGACTATGTTTTTCTTCGTAAATGTAAAACTCAAAATTTTTCGAATTATTCTTTTGACAATATATAGATTTCCAAAATCTAAATAAAATCATCATTTTTTCACGCTTAGTTATTCACCTTCCCTGGGATCATGTGAGCTGCACAATCGGTTCAGTCGTTTCAACATGTATAATTTATTAGATACAGACAAGCAAGCAAATTGTATCTTTATTTAAATTAATACAAGGCTGAAAAGAAGCAGAATAAGTTTTTTTGTCGGAATGTAGGTATTAGAATAATTTTAAAAACAATGCTAATGATGGGAAAGGGGCGGGAAATGATTTAAGCGGAATTTAACGGAATAAAAATTAAAAAGAAAATGAAAAATACGTTTTAAGCTCTATGCATATACTGGAAAAGGAGCAGAAAAATATTTTTGCTACAATAAAGGATAAAAACTTTATGAAGAAAAGCAAAAAGACGAAGTAATAAAGAAAACAAAAATGGAAAAAGCCAAATAATTTGAAAGGCAGGAGAAAATCAATATCTAACTAACTAACTAACCTGGGAAAAGCAATAAAGGTTTCACAACTCTCTCTTCTCTCCCCCCCCCCCACTCACCCAATATTATTGCTTGAGGCCCAGGAAGGTAGGGTTAAATATTTACAAAGGGAGTCCACGCAAAAATGGCAGATATTATTTATCACACTGAAATAAAACTTCTAGATTGAAAACCCTATATTTTATTCGAAAAAGGTTAAACTTTCAACAAAATAAAAATATTACGTTTTATAAGAAACACCCTATAGACCTACGTCGTATTTACAGTTATGTAAAGTGGGCCACAGGATAAGAGAGGATGGGGGGGGGTCGGATTCAACCCTTCCTATTCAGGGTTAAGCCTGTAGTAAGACGCAGGCAGTTGACTTGAACTGTACTTAACTTAAAGAAGGAAACGTAGAGTACTGCTCTAATATGAATAAGTTACTATTTGTAAGTATTTAGAAAACTTTTTAAAAAATAGAATAAGTTGAATTCATTGTCCCTTGCTGTATGATTAACTAAAGTCGGAATTGATTAATTATTTATTCATGTTTTGTTTTTTACACTGTTTGTTTTCATTGTAAAAGTGACTAGCGCATTCTTGCTTAAAGAATCAATAGAGAAATTTACAAAAATAAACAATTTTTTATTTTTAACGCTTACAAGAAAATTTTTCATAAAGATTTTAGGTTTGCAGAATAATTTACTTTCACTAGAATAAACTAAAAACATAATTTAAGAGGGGTTCTTTTATAAATGGTCCATAATCTGTCCATAATTACAATAAACAACTCAACAAGACCGCCAAAATACTTTAAACGTCTCTTGAATCTTATTTGTGGTCGGGTTTTGTGAGTTATTTTTGATTATATAATTTTCTTGACCATATTTAGGTATTTTTGGTGGGAATAGTTCTCTCAGGAGACCTGGAGAAGGACAAGGACTTGATCAGCCTGGAGAAAACTAACCCCATGGTTCATACCATCTCAAGATCGGATCTAGAGGACCTGGAGGAGAAGACCATGAAGGTGGAGATGGTCGGACCTTGGGAGGTTGTTGAGGTTCTAGAGACTGAACCTCTTGCTCGTGGAGATGAGGTTGAAGGATCTGGAAAAGAGCAGGAGGAGGAGGAGGAGGAGGAGGAGACCTTAGAACTACTTGAAGAAGTCGAAGATGATGATGATGAGGACCATGAGGAGGAATCTGATGATGAGGAAGAACATGAAAATGAGGAACGCGCTGATGAGGTTAAAACTGAAGAAGACAAAGAAGTAGAGGAAGAAGCAGAAGAACAAACCGAAGAAGATAATGATGCCGCTGGACGTGCTGAAGAAGCAGAAGATGAAGCAGAAGAAGAAGTAGAGGAAGAGGCTGGGGAAGAAGCAGAAGAAGAAGCAGAAGTAGGAGTAGAAGCAGAAGATAATGATGATGAAGACAGTGATGAGGCTGCCGAACGTTCTGAAGAGACTGAGGACAACGAAGAAGAATCTCTAGAAGAAGAAAGCGAAGAAGAATCACAGGAGGAAGCATCTGAAGAAGAAGGAAGCGGTGAGGAGCGTAAGGAAGAAACAGTTTCTGACGTTCCAATCATTGAAGAATAATTTCTGACGCTAAATTTCCTCCTAGATATTGAATTTCGAAAATAAATTCATCCGAAAGATGTGTTATAAAAACTATTGTGTACTTTATCATTCTTCCTCACTTCATCGTGAATTTTATAATGAACGTGCTGTAAAATAATCATCGTTCTATAAAGTAAAATTAGATGTACATTACAGCACGTGTGCTATAAAGTTAAATTAGGTGTACATTATAGCACGTGTGCTATAAATTTGCTTTTTTGTCTATCTGTGCAGTACTCAGGGATACTCAGAATTACAAAAACGTTGTCATAAAGTTTTTAGATTTTCGAAAATGCTTACAGTTATATATGTAGTAAATGCCCTACTCCATTAGGGGTTCCCAAACCCGTATCTATCCAGGTAATATTCAATCTCACTTTACTATCGATTTCAAACCGGACAAGAGGTTGAAACTATCAATGCCAAACCAATGGTCACAATCTCGTCAGCTATCAATATAAACACTGACACAAGCTTGTAAACTATCAATACCAAGCCAATTAATGGGCACAATCTTGTCAGCTATCAATGTCAACACAGACACAAGGAAGTAAACTATCAATACCAAGCCAATTAATGGGCAAGATCTCGTCAGCTATCAATGTCAACACCTACACAAGCCAATAAACTATCAATACCAAGCCAATTAATGGGCAAGATCTCGTCAGCTATCAATGTCAACACCTACACAAGCCAGTAAACTATCAATACCAAGCCAATTAATGGACACGATCTCGTCAGCTATCAATGACAACATAGACACAAGGAAGTAAACTATCAATGCCAAGCCAATTAATGGACACTATCTCATCAACTATCAATGTCAACACAGACACAAGGAAGTAAACTATCAATGCCAAGCCAATTAATGGACACGATCTCGTCAGCTATCAATGCCAACATAGACACAAGGAAGTAAACTATCAATGCCAAACCAATGGACACAATCTCATCACTCGTTCGTTCAGACAAGGATATCTATCACTATAATCAAAGCGGAGTATCTTCCAACTAAAGTGTATTTAGATATCTATGTTAAAGATTAACTTTAATATGAATATCTACAAGATTAGTGCAGATATATATTAGCGTATTTAGGCCAGTTACTCGTAGTCATAATTTAATCAGAATACATGTTTTGACGTATTTACAGAACTAGCTAGGCTAGGTTAATCATGTTACAAGTTTTGCGCAATATAATGATAAGGGAATTTGGATTAGAATTTTCAGCAAACTAAACGAAGCAGGCTTATCTTGCTTCCTATTTTTCCTTGGGCTTAATTATTTGGTTTGGTTAATGATATGATTTTTGTTAATCGCATGTAGCATTGATTTGCCAATGACTTGTAAAAAGCTGGATTTTCAAACATAATTGAGTTATCTTCTTTTGTCCTTTTCTCAGTCAGTCATAAAAAGTAAAAAAAAATAAGGAATTTTTCCTTTTAAGAATTGATTTTGTTTTCTTTTGTTTTTTCTCTTCCATCTATCCTTTCCTTTCTTTTTTTATTCTCTGTTTTCACTGGCTCCGTAAAAAATTCTCTCTCAAATTCTCCTACTTAACCTTTCCTTGCTTACTAGTGCTATCTTTTCTGCACTTTAATTGGATCAGCCTGTGCAAATGTCATGTTCATCAGTGCCCATCGTTTGTCTATTGCTGGACAAAAACGCAACCCTCCGGCCAGAATGCATTCCTCCCAACCTTCTTGTAAAATAAAATAAGAAATTTAGAGTTGTGTTAATTGAAGACAAGAGATCATTAACTGCTAGGAATTGGTTTTAATTATTGTTCAAATAACTGTCGAGTCAAAATCTTACTACGAACTTCCGTGACTCTCACATGTTTTAAATTTATATATATCAAACATAATAAATTGCAACATGTATGATGCAAAACTGTTAAAGAGAATACCTTTATTTTTTTTTAAATGGTTTACCGGGTTTTAGTTTTTTGCTTTATGTAATTGTGTTTATTTAAAAAAGGAAATGGTAAAAAAAGATAAGGTGAAACAGGAAATATTTGAAGTTTTCATGTAGTTCTTGGTTAAAAAAAAAGATACTTTCCCTTTCTTTAGAGAGATATTTAGGAAATGAAAGACATTTTAAGAAGGAGAAAATTGGAAAGGATGTGTTAGTAGTGTTAGTTTATTATTAATTACTTTGTTGACATATTACCAATACTTTTACTAATCTTACTTTATCCTACTATTATACACTCACATCCTCTGATTTCATGTTAACTACAGTTAGTAAACTTCAGTTAGTAAACTACAGTTCGTAAACTACAGTTAGTAAACTACAGTTCGTAAACTTCAGTTCCAAAACTACAGTTAGTAAACTACAGTTCGGAAACTTCAGTTAGTAAACTACAGCTAGAAAACTACAGCTAGTAAACTACAGTTAGTAAACTAAAATTAGTAAACTACAGTTAGTAAACTTCAGTTAGTAAACTACAGTTAGTAAACTACAGTTCGTAAACTTCAGTTCCTAAACTACAGTTAGTAAACTACAGTTCGTAAACTTCAGTTCCTAAACTACAGTTAGTAAACTACAGTTCGGAAACTTCAGTTAGTAAACTACAGTTAGTAAACTACAGTTCGGAAACTTCAGTTAGTAAACTACAGTTAGTAAACTACAGTTCGTAAACTTCAGTTCCTAAACTACAGTTAGTAAACTACAGTTCGGAAACTACAGTTAGTAAACTACAGCTAGAAAACTACAGCTAGTAAACTACAGTTAGTAAACTAAAATTAGTAAGCTACAGTTAGTAAACTTCAGTTAGTAAACTACAGTTAGCCAACTACAGTTAGTAAACTACAGCTAGTAAACTACAATTAGTAAACTACAGTTAGTAAACTACAGCTAGTAAACTACAGCTATTAAGCTACAGCTAGCAAACTACAGCTAGTAAACTACAGTTAGTTAACCACTGCTAGTAAACTACAGTAAGTAAACTACAGTTAGTAAACTAGAGTTTGTAAACTACAGTTAGTAAACTACAGTTAGTAAACTACAGTTAGTAAACTACAGTTAGTAAACTGCAGTTAGTCAACTACAGTTAGTAAACTACAGTTATTTAACTACAGTTAGTAAACTGCAATTAGTAAACTACAGATAGTAAACTACAATTATTTAACTACAGTTAGTAAACTACAGTTAGTAAACTACAGTTAGTAAACTACAGCTAGTAAACTGCAGTTAGTAAACTACAGTTAGTAAACTACAGCTAGTAAACTACAGTTAGTAAACTACAGTTCATAAACTACAGCTAGTAAACTACAGTTAGTAAACTACTTCTAGTAAACTACAGCTAGTTAACTACAGCTAGTAAACTACAGTTAGTAAATTACAGTTAGTAAACTACAGTTAGTAAACTACAGTTATTTAACTACAGTTAGTAAACTACGGTTAGTAAACTACAGTTAGTAAACTACAGTTAGTAAACTACAGTTAGTAAACTACAGTTAGTAAACTCTACAGTTAGTAAACTACAGTTAGTACAGTTAGTAAACTACAGTTAGTAAACTACAGCTAGTAAACTACCAGTTAGTAACCTCTACAGTTAGTAAACTACAGCTAGAAAACTAGAACATCCTGTCTGTATAGACATATTCTGAGTCATATTTTGATATCTAATTAATGATATGTGGAAATGGGCAGAAACAAACTTTATATTCTATAATATTTGAAATATACAGTATTAACCAGAAAACTGTGAAATAGGAAGACGACAATACTGAAGTGCATTTCATGTTGTTACAGAGAAAATACCTTTACTAATCAGTTATTAAATCAATTATGAAGTGGATTTTGTGCACACTACACCATTGCTGTGTTTTATATTCATTTGACTATTTCAAGTCATAATTTAAGTCTAAAAGTAAACTTCCTGATCAGAATTTTTGTTTAATTTAGATGATGTATGTGCTTTCTGTGCTCAGTGTTCTAGGATTAGTTCTGAAGAACAAGAGGATTATAAAAATATTGGTAAACACTTTTAAAACTTTTTAATAACAAGAAAGCATGGAAGAAAAATATTTATCATAAATCTACTTATTAATTTTGAACTTATGATATTATGATATTAGATCTATCTTGGTTAAATATATCCTGGATATATGATAGATATTTAGATATTGATATTAGATCTATCTTGGTTAAATATATCCTGTATATATGATATATTCAGATATTGATATTAGACCGATATTGGTTAAATTTATCCTGTATATAGTATATAATTAGATATTGATATTAGATCTTACTTGGTTAAATTTATCCTAGATATATTATTTATATTTAAATATTGATATTGGATCTAATTGGTTAAATTTATCCTAGATATATTATATTTATTCAGATATTGATATTGGATGTACTTGGTTAAATATATCCTGTATATATGATATATATTTAGATATTGATATTAGATCTATCTTGGTTAAATATATCCTGCATATATGATATATATTTAGATATTGATATTAGATCTATCTTGGTTAAATATATCCTGTATATATGATATATATTTAGTTATTGATATTGGATCTATCTTGGTTAAATATATCTTGGATATATGAAGGTACAGACTACAGTAAGACTACAGTAAGACTACAGTAAGACTACAGTAAGACTACAGTAAGATTACAGTAAGACTACAGCAAGACTACAGTGAGACTACAGTAAGATTACAGAAAGTACTTAAGACAGACAATATTTATTCGAATTTAAACATCAATCATAACATTTCTATCAAACATTATTTCTGATTTTAAATTATTACCAATAGTCATGTTTCCTGGGACACCTTGTATCAAAAGATCCGTATTTAAACACAATAATCAGATAATTTTAAACTGATTTTTTTACAAATCAGAAGCAAAAAAACTAATATTTAAGAACAACATTTTTTTTGTCAAAAATTCAAACAATTTTGAAAATATCTAATTAAAAATGTACAGTATTCATGACTGGCTTTCTTTTGATACATACCAAATTCGACATGTTTTGAAGAATTTTTTTGGCTAGCAAATTATTTGGACTTTTGGAATGCTAAATATAAATTGGGGTTACAGTTCTAAGACCAGGAGCCTGACATTCAGCAACAACTCATGCTTTGACAGGCATATTTAAATTTAAATAAAAAGTCCAAAATTGATCGCCCTTAACCCAGAGGTTGTGGACTCACATGGAGGGCCTGGCTAAAATACAAAAGTTTGTAGATTTTCAAATGAGATATATTTTCATTAATGAAAGAAGTCCACATAAGCCGCTTAAAGTTTAGGAAAGTTCATCAACTTAATCTTTAATTATTGAGATATATTTCCATTAATAAAAGATGTTCGCATAAGCCGCTTAAAGTTTAGGAAAGTTCATGTTTGAAAGACACTTACAAAGATTACAACAGATTAGTTCAACTGTTTATATTCTATACTTCTTCTTACTCTACTCTAGTTACATTCATTAATTGAAAATCACAAAACCATAATTAACAATGGGTGATTATTTTGAGCAGTTTAAAAGTAGATTTTTGCTGGGAAATATTGTGTGAAAGATGTAACTCATCATTTTGACTCAATCATTAATCATGAGCCTTATACAAAATGTTCTGTAACAAACAGTAAAATAAGCTACTTTTATGGCATGATCAAATTGGCTTCATGCTTAATTACTTTTTAATAAGGAGAAAAAATGGGATATCCTAAGTTCTTTAAAAACATAAATGATGTCTGTTATATATAAAAAAATTATTTTAAAATTTAAGATTTTCTGTAAATTTTCTAAATGGGAAATAATATATAATATCTTAAGGGTACACAACAATAATTATACAGAAACAAAATACAAAGTACAAATTCTTTAAATTTTTTCAAAACAGTGCTAAAGGTTGCTGGTTTCGCAAGCCTTGAATGGGAATACTGAACAAAATGTATTGTTTCAATATCTTGCCAAGATCTTCTTTAAAGCTTGTTGATCTGATCATGGTAACACTTTTGTTTGGTATAGCGCTTAGCTTCAGCAACTGAACTAGATATCCATTGTTTGGTATAGCGCTCAGCTTCAGCAACTGAACTAGATATCCATTGTTTGGTATAGCGCTCAGCTTCAGCAACTGAACTAGATATCCATTGTTTGGTATAGTGCTTAGCTTCAGCAACATAAATATATATCCTTTGTTTGGTATAGTGCTCAGCTTTAGCAACCGAACCAGATATCCTTTGTTTGGTATAGCACCTAGCTTCAGCAACTGAACTAGATATCCATTGTTTGTTATAGGGCTCAGCTTCAGCATATATTCATTGTGCAAACTTTTACGATTTTATCTCTTTATGTGGGGAAAGAAGATTAAGCCAATGATCAAATATCCAGCGTCTAAGCTTAAATGTTCAGTGGGGATGGGAACCATTTAAGACCTGAAAGCATAGCTTTAAGATGAACAGAGTTCACCTACTGTGTGATCTATTTCGTGTACATGGTACTTGACTGTTTTGGAAGACAGTACTGTAAAGCAGACAGTGCTTCCAAGATTCCAAACTCATTGTCAATATTCCTCTCGCTGTACAGCTCAAAGTAGCCCTTCCTCCCAGTCTTAGAACTAATATAGATGGTGACCAGATATCCAGATAAAACTGCATCCTTGATGAAATAGTAAACTAGAAATACTTCCATAGCATCCTTGTTCCACTCTATCCGGTTTTTGTACAGGAATAACAGAACCAACTCATTTCCCAAACGGAGTAACAACATGATGTAGACTAAGATCACACTCTGTCTGAAGCTAAGTATATTTCTTCCATACCGTAGACCAACTTTTCTTAAACTTCCTTTAAATGCCTCTGTCTGGAGAACCTGAACCCGGTAGTGTGTACTCATAATTCCAACCAAGAAGAATGAAGCAAATGCGATGCGTATAAGTATTCCTGCAAAGTAGGCCGGTATTTCCTTGTTCCTAATGTGTCCTCCCACACATAAGTCTATCTGAAAGTAGTTGGTCGGGTATCCTTTGCCCAGGAAGAAAAGAGAAGAGAACCAGGTTGAGAAGAGAAGTGAGCAGAAGACGAATAAAAACTTGAGAAGTCCTGTTCCTTCAACCATTAATGATTCTGGATATTTGATCAAGAAGAGTCGAACAAACAGACTGAAGAATACTGGATACATCAGAAAGATCCCATACACACACTCTAAGCCCATGAAGTTCATGCATCCTCTGAAGTCCTGCGTTTCGCCCTTGTCCTGAATCAACATTCGGAACACCTCATAGAGAGCCAAGTTTTGTATGATTAGAAAGTCAAGAAGCATGATAACAGTTTTTGTTAAGAACAGTCCAACTGCTTGATTGTATGTACATATTGTACAACATTGTTCCTGCAATATAAGTGTTCAGAACGGCTAAGAGAACAGGTAGAAACGCAAGCAAAGGAGAGAGGGATTGGAATAGTACCATTGTCCCCCAAGAGCGGGGGATAAACTGGTGTTAATCCCCAAGCTCTGCTCTCAACTTTAATTATTCAAATAGCTTTTCGTGTTAACAATTCTTAAACCTTCAAGTAATTGTCAGCCTAATGCAAGATATCCTCCATTTAAATCCTGTTCAAAGAAGTAAGAATTGCACCCCTAGGTTCATTGTTTATTTATCTTCATTTTTTAACAAAAAAATAAATATAAAAATACATAACAAAGTTGACAGGCTCTCTTTATTCTGGAAGATCCGAGCTGAAAACTTTAGAATGGGATATCCTTAATTCCGTTCGGTTAATTAATCTGGAGATTAAATTCATGAGGAAAACAAGCAATATTTAATCTGGAGATTAAGAAAAAGAAGAGATCAAGCATTAATCCTGATATCCACTCTTTTTCTTAATCTCAAGATTAAATAATGCTTGTGCTCCTATTGTTATTAATCTCCAGATTAATTAACTGATCGGGATTAAAGATATCTCATTCTAAAGTTTTCAGCTCGGATCTTATATCTTTGAACAACTTTGTAAACTTTACTTTTAATCCTCATGTTTAGTAGTTTACATATAAATAATTTATTTTTTAAAATTTTAATGGGCAATATACAGATTAATTTTACAGGAACTTTTTATGTCTTTAGACTTTTAAAAGGTATTACGACAATATGAGAAGGTACCAACATTTTAAAACTTTATTCTGTAGAAGTTTACCAAACATGCAAATTTGTTACCCTCGAAGAAAATATAAGGCAAAAATGGTAGTTTTAGTTAGTTTTTGTCTCACGTTTTCACCTAGGATAACAAATTTGCATGTTTGATAATAGTAAACTTCTACAGAAGACAATTTCAAATCGTTAAATCCGTAAATATTTAAAAGTCCAAAAGTATTAAAAGTTTTTGTAAGACTAATCTAGCAGTTGCCCATCGCTATATTCAAACCTACAATATTAAACAATATGTTAAATTTAATAAGAAATTATGAAATGCCAATGGAAATGAAAATATGTTTTTTTAGAGTAATATATCTGAGTGATAAAAATTGCAAGTAAGTGCAGCTTTAAGGTAAAAATATTTTTACATACTAAGAGTAATTTTCTGTAATGAGCACTTAAGTTACTCACTTTTAATGCTTATTTCTTTTTCAAATTTTGCAGGGGCTGCACCTTCCTGCCCCCCCCCCCCCTCGCTCATTATGTTTTGCTCGGAACAATACCCAATATTATTTAAGAAGCTAGATCCGCCCCTGCCTCACTATGAATTACTTTTTGATGCTTCAGCATAATTTATAACTTTATGTAAGTTTGGGGACTGGGGACAAGTATTATCACAGTTAGAGCTCGGAAGGTTTTAAATTTTTAACACTCGGTTCATTACAAAGAGATGAATAAACAGAACATACAGATTTTTCGGTTCAGTTTATCAGTTTTTGGTCAGCGAAATTTTTTTGCACATATGCAAAAACTACAATTTTGTGAACAAAACTTCGCCTACCTAGAAGGAGGGGGGGAGGGGGGGGGGTCAAAAAGACTACACTCGGGTATTGGTAAATGATTACAGAAAGACCACAAACAAGTTTTGACGCCGAAAACTATATAGTCTCAGGATTTCCAAAATGTGGTTTATCATTATTTCAGCTTCAAAATTGAAACATTTTCCCAGACTTCAATTCAAAGAAAACAATAATTTTTAATGATAAATACTTCCGCGAATATTAAAGACACAAAGAAGGACGTCCACAATTTAAAAGGTTTAAAAGAAGTTCAATTTATCTGATACACTCTCCGTTAATTATCAATTATTAGAAATAAAAGAAGATTTTCAATCGGGGACTAATAAGGACTAATGAAGGTCTTAACAGGACTAATAAAGATAAGTAAGAGTAATACAGGACTATAATATTCAGTAGTTTATAGAGAAACAAGACCTTTAAATGACCTTTAAAATAACGTCGAAAGTCCAATTAAGAAATTTAAACTTTTGAAATCACTTTGAATAGTTTATTGTTTTCTTTCAGCCTTCTCTCTCAAGATTAATAGTTCTTATAGTAGCAATTGACATCTTTAATCTTTAAAAATATGAGACATTTATCCATAAACTCAATTTTAGACATAGAGAATAGAATATATATTAGAGGGGAATTTAAAGAATCTCTCGGTTTGAATTTGTTCAGTCCCTTTCAGCCTGAAAGGGAGTTCAAAGTGTACAAATCATGTAAATGTTCACAAATTATATGCATTAGAGTACATTAATACAGTATGTTACCTAGACTATTCATTTCAATTTCGAATTTTTTAAAGCTGTTAAATAGGTGAATAAAAAACATCATTTGATTTATAGTTATAACGGAAAATCATCGTTTGTAAAGTGAAAAGCATAGAGTCTATGTGAAATGATCATTGGTCAATTATGAAACCAGCCTATTTCATAATTTGGTTTTCTTTTAACATTCATTTTAGATTTTCTATAAAATTATATTCCAGGGCCCAAAAGGTTATATAGCATAAATATGTGAAGTACACCTGCAGTATGGAAACAGTACAACAAAATAGCCGTTTTACACTTTTTTCTAGTAAATTCCCCTCTTTGATTTTAGAAGTAAAATTCTGGAGCTAATGCTCACAAAATACCTCTAGTGGTGGTATTTTCAAAATGTGGTCTGCCTTTTTTGAGCTTTGAATATTACCGGAGATATTAAGAATTTCATTCCAGATTTGGCTTTTATGGTTTTATCTAATAAAATTGAAATCTAAACGAAATTACTAACATCGACAGCACAAAAACGGCAGACCATATTTGGGAAATGCCAGGACTAGGAGATTTTTGTGGTTATTGTTTCAAGTAGGTTGGCGGCTGAATGTCACAAATTAACTCAGCGTTCGAAGACGACATTCAATCCGTCTTGCTACTGTCATGTTTCTTATGACTTTTTTATGTTTTTTTTTACAGATTATTTGAATTATCAATTTGTCTATGGTTGTCGAATTTTTTCAGTTTATAATAAATTAAGTTAGATTAGAAACTATTTTTGTGCCAGAAACATTGGACAGGGGGCCATGTTTGTTGGGACACCCTGTATATGTGTCTCCATTCAAAAGGATTGCCAACAAAATGTCTAATGTTCAACCACATGGTATCTCTCTAAACCGGGTCTAAATATTGTTTAAGTTTCAGTCTCTGCTTAGAACAAGTTGAGAGGTGAGTTGAACATATGTGCACTTGTATGGCCGTGTGTACGTAGTCGTGAATCTAACATTGATACAAATAAATTCATTTTCACTCTCCAAACTATTATTTGTTTAGATGTTCTTAGAGGGACTAGAAGCTTGTAATTTCAAGTAACCCTCCCTTCAAAAATAACGTTGCCCAATTACACCCTGGATACCAGAGAACGTCAATAATTACCAGTGGAACATCCGGCGACGTCATATTTAAGTTGTTGAGGACATTTAATGCAAGAATTCTTATGTCTTCACGACCTAATTTTCGAAGTCGAAATGACGTCACTTTGGACGTATAAATGACGAAACTTTTGATTTCCAAAACATTATTCTTGAAACCTTTATTTGATCAATAATGTGGAAGATATTATCGGGTTTTTTAATTTTTAAAAGTGTCAAAGTCTGGTAATTTTTATACACCGGGTGTCCCACGAAACATGACAGTTTGTAAATAGTTTTGAATGTCTTCTTCCATATACTGTAATAGATGTTAAAGACTTTTTGCAGTTTATTTAGTTTTAAAAATCTTTTACTCAAACATATTTTACTTTGAAATCAATTTTAATATAATATGGCCGGCATGAAATTTTTTATATTTTTATCTTGGGATTCAAGCAACTTAACAAACTATGTGAGAAGACATTTAAAGACATTTAAACTTTTTACCAACTGTCAAGTTTCGTTCATGTATGTGTTTCTGTTGTAGAGAAACCATTATTGAAAATAATCAGTTTTACAAATTTTAAGCTTGAAATCACACTTACAGTTCTTTTAAAAACATCTGAAGTTGAGTTGTCTTAAAGGCTTTTCTCGGGAAATCAAGTTGAAATTACAATCTTCTACATTTTCGTTGTCGTAAAAATGATTTTATTTTTTAACCCGCACAGTGTTAACGCTCTGGAATGACCTTTTGCAATGTGGATAAAGAATTGATCTTCATCTCATGTGCAGGATTAATTTAATTCCCATGATGGTCATACGCTGATCAAATTAAAAGACCCAACATGGATATCGAGATCAAGAATTCAAGATTAACGATATTTCACACAAAATTTCAAACCTCAGGGAATTGTTTAAAGGGTTAACCAATGTTTACATTACGTATAATGGTCGGCATTCAAAGAATACTTTTGATTTCTAACAAGGTTTTTTCAAGTTACAAGCTTAAACGTAGAGAAAAAAGTTAATTTACAGTTTCTCTATTGTTTCAATGTTTATTTGTGTCCATTTTGTTTGAAAGCTTGGTAAAGATCGAATAAGAAATAGAAAGTCGTCTTCACTATGTTGATTTATACAACGACGACTGTACATTTGCACTTAATAGAACTTAAAATGGATGAAGGGTTTGTGTTAATAGGAGCAGGTCTTCCTCGGACAGGGACAATGTCAACCAGGTTGTTCATATTCATGTTCATGTTCATGTTCATGTTCATGTTCATGTTCATGTTCATGCTCATGTTCATGTTCATGTTCATGTTCATGTTCATGTTCATGTTCATGTTCATGTTCATGTTCATGTTCATGTTCATGTTCATGTTCATGTTCATTCATGTTTTTCTTCTTCTTATATTCTTTATTGACGTAAATTTTGCGTTTTCATGTTCAAGTTCATGATTATTTTAACGTTCTCTTGTTTCAATTAAATTAACACAATGTCAAGTTCATAGTTTATAATTAAGTCAAATTTCAAGTTCGAATGACGTCATTCAAATGACATCAAAGGGATTGTAAACCTATTTTAAAATACTCAAAATATAACAGATGTTTGTAAATCCCAGAATGATCGAATTTTTAGCAAAAATTGACATCATGTTTCTGCTTTATGAAGCTAAAAGACTCATAGAAAGTTACGAGTATAAATTGCTTAATCCAAAAAGTTTCAAAACAATTAATAATCAATTGTTCATTAAATTTTTCATAAGACATTTACAACGATTTTTTGTCTATTTCCCAAGAAAATTTACATCATGTTTACATGAGGTTTTGTAAATTTGTAAATTTTATATTCGAACTTAAACATTTTCTTATAGAGGACGTAAGGTCAAACTCTAATGAAATGCATAAAGTAACTTCCAGTATATATATTTCTTAAGTAACTTCCAGTATATATATTTCTTGTAACTTATTTCTAGAGGGTTCAGAGCATGAGTTGATATCAATATCAAACGTGTTAGACTGAAAGTACTATGCCCCGTATCCGTTCTATCTCATTCCGTTGAATCTTGTAGGACTTGTTTAAGGCGGCCAGGCATCGTCTTCCACATTCTATCCTTTTAAAGTATCTATCTGAGGGATGCGGCTTCGTTGTGATCCAACATTTTAAATAAGGAAGAATCCCTTTAATAATCATTTGAAATTAATTAAATAGTTTTAAAATAACTTCTAACGCACATTTACACTATTTACCTTCGTGTACATTTAATGGAAATTAATGATTAATATGTTTGCTCAAACTTTTTAATATAATCATGTAAATGTTGAAAGTAACAATTGTACCTGTATTTGCTGAATGATTAGCTAACTTTGATCCCTTAAATATTACTTCCAATTATATACTAGGGCAAGGCACGTTCTGACTTTTTTCTAGTTGTTTGTTAACAGTTATTTAAAATAACAGACTAACACCAGACTACGCATAGGCTCTACCTGGATAGGCTAAGCCTTAACCCTATTCCTGCTGGGGGGGGGGGTTGCAAATTTGCAATTTTTTTTGCAGATTCTAAAAGTAGAGCACAAGAGCTTTCCAATGATGTATCATTTGTCATATTTGGACATCAAACATGGGATTTAGAGGGGGGGTCAAATTGACCCCCCCCCCCCAGCATATCCTGGTTTTCAAGTACCCCAGCAGAGATAGGGTTAAGTGTCCTGGCACTTAACAATACTGTTCTGTACTGCATTTTACTGCACTGTACTTTTATGTACTGCACTGTATTGTTCTCTACTGCACTGTGCTTTTCTGTACTACACTGTACTGTTCTCTACTGCACTGTACTGTTCTGCACTGCATTTTTCTGTTCTGTACTGCACTGTTCTGTACTGCACTGTTCTGTACTGCACTGTTCTGTACTGCACTGTTCTGTACTGCACTGTTGTGTACTGCACTGTTCTGTACTGCACTGTTCTGTACTGCACTGTTCTGTACTGCACTGTTCTGTACTGCACTGTTCTGTACTGTACTGTACTGTTCTGTACTTCACTGTACTGTTCTGTACTTCACTGTACTGTTCTGTACTGCATTGTACTGATCTGTACTGCATTGTACTGATCTGTACTGCACTGTACTGTTCTGTACTGCACTGTACTGTTCTGTACTGCATTGTACTGTTTTGTACTGCACTGTACTGTTCTGTACTGCACTGTACTGTTCTGTACTGCACTGTACTGTTCTGTACTGCACTGTACTTTTCTGTACTGCACTGCTCCGTTCTATACTACACTATACTGTTTTGTACTGCACTATACTGTTCAGCATTGTACTGATTTCTACTTTACCCTCTTTTACTGTTTTGTGCTGTATACTGTATTGTACTGCACTGTTATGTATCTTCCTGTACTGAACTGTTTCTATTTAGAGCTGCTTTACAGAATTTACTGAAAGGGAAGATTCACCATATGGCAACTGTTATGAGTGAACGATTGGATAAACATGACTTTTGGAAAAAAGCAGTTGCTAAACAAGTCAGGTACAAACTAACACAACAAAAATATGGAACTTTGATTTTCAAATGCAGACTTATTAAGAACTAACTGAATGGCCCAGAGTTGCCCGTGGAAAAAAATTTTGTTAAATTTTTTTTTTTTTTTTTTTTAATTTTTAGCCTATGACCCCCCCCGCGGGTCATCCATGAGTGTCCACAGAAAATCTCAGCCCATTTTTCACCTTCACCGTAAATATCTGATGTTTTTCAATGGTGAACATTTTTCAAAGTGGTGGTTTTTCTTTTTTTTAAATAGAGAATATCTTATTAAATTGCATGATATCTTTTTAAATTGTTGATATCTTTTTAAACTGCTAATATATTTTTAAATTGCTGATATCTTTTTAAATTGCTGATATTTTTTTAAATTGCTGATATCTTTTTAAATTGGGATATTTTTCAAAATGTCGAATTTGTTTAAATTGCGGATATTTCTTAAATTACAAAAAAAATTGAAATTTTAGATTTTGTTCTAAATTCCGGATTTTTTTCTTAAATTTTGGATTGTTTAAAATTTACAAATTTTTTAAAGAAAGATTGTAATTAAAAACTGGCGGCAAATGTATTAAATATTTAGCACAAATGACTGGCAAGAGACTCTATCTGAATACAGAGGAGGGGTGGATTATCCTATATCATTCTTCTATAAGGAAATTATGGAAGCTTTTCCAAATGCAAAGGTGAAAAACATTTTTTTAATTTATTTGTGTAATAGAAATAATAAAGATCGTGTATGTACTTAAGTACACGAGGAATCAGATAGATGTAGATTTTATAAACATTCTCACTCTAGATGGCGCTCTAGTACACGAGGAATCAGATAGATGTAGATTTTATAAACATTCTCACTCTAGATGGCGCTCTATTACAGGGTGTCCTAATTAACATGGGAATTAAGAGACAATTTGAATATTGTCTTTGATTTCGATAATTGATCAATGACATAAATTAAAGTGCATCAAAATAAGATGGAACATATAATGAGCTTTCCAAAATGTGGTCTATCTTCTTTGTATCTTTAAAATTGAGGGAGATATTAAATATTTGAGCAGTTATGTTGATTTTTAATAAACTGGAATCTGGACAAATTTCCTAATATCTCTGTTAATTTTGAAGGTGAAAGAATGGTTGACCACATTTTAAAAATCCCGAGACTAGTACTTTTTGGTGTTAAATGTTTAAAAAAAATCATATTTATGAAATAATCCAACTTGGAACAATTAGACGATATAGAGACTACAGACTACAAATAGGAAGTTTATGCATGTAGCCTGTAAAAGAAAGCAAGCAGAATCCTGTTTTCTCTCAGCTCTCTATAGACTAAGTGACCTCTACGGCGGAATAATCATTAAACTGCACATGAAGCAAAGTCAGCTATCCCCGGGTAGAAAATGTGGGGAAGGGTGGGGTGGTGGGAGAACATATAAACTCTATATAACTCTATTATTTGTTTTTCTGGGGTTTTCCCGTTAGTTTACGATTTAACAACTTTGTGATGTCATGCAAGATAAATTATTCAGGTTTTGTTGAACGTCAGAGATCCCATTAAATGGTATGAAAGTGTCAAAAATTCTATTTTCAGGTAAAAATAAACATGGAAATGTATAAATTGGATATTTAATGTAAGATATTATTTACACATTTACTCAAATCTAGAGATGCCTCATACCTAGGGCAGTTAATCGTTTTTGAAAATGATCGAAATGAGCATTTTTCGTTTTTTTCGATTGTTTTAAAAAGGATCATTTCGTTTTTAGAAGTAAAATATTGTTTTTTGAAAACGACCCAGTCATTTCTGTAAAACGAATAACGATCGTTTTTAAAAACAATTGTTTTTATAAAAACGATAATTAAGCGACCGGTTTTTATACGATTGTTTTTTATAATTTTATAAGATTTATAGTTTTATGATATATAGGTTACACATGACTGCACGTTGTTGGCCTTGTACTTGGTTTACTGCACTTATTGGACAAGCAGAATCTATAGAACTAGTTGCGTAAGTGAATATTGCTTAATTTTCTATAAAGAAAGAGACTACTCCAAAACTATCCAATCTAAAACCATATGATCTGTTTTAAATTAGTTTTTATAAAGGTGATTAAAGGGATTAAGCCTGCGATTTAAAAACTTAGGCTTGATTCGTAATTCCTTGAACCCGACTTTATGACCCAATCTTCGATCAAACTCTGAGGACAGCTTGTGTCACTTGATTGACAGCTGCAAGATCTTCGTGTGGAGAATAAGGCTCAATATTGAGTCTTGTTCTCATAAAAACCAGGAAAATCCGCCAAATAGAATATTAAACCGGATTTTGGAACTCAGCTTTAGAAATTAAGATGCAGCTTGAATCTGAAAAATCAAGTGGTAAATAAGGCCCAACGACAGCTTAGGCCCAAGCCGTATTTTTCCGATTTCTTTAAATCCCGGGCTCTGGTAAGGTAAATTGAAAGTGGGCATAAACTGAAGCCTAAACTATAAGAGTTGATCACGACCAATATTAGTTCAATATAAGATGGTCCTGTCTGGAGAATTTGATATAAACTGTGTCAAAGTTACACCAAGACTCATATATATAAAATATGGTATTTTAATAAAATTTCTAAAAAGATTATATTTGAATATGATACTAATTCATTTATTATAGATACATTTGATAATATAATTTTTACGTCTGTATCAAGTAACCAGATTTCCACAACTGGTCTAGTGCAATATCTCGTCACATGTCTAGCTCTGTCTGCATCACGTGGTCAGAGAGTTAAGTGAACATTTTCTATAACTCCTTTTTTAGGAATTGATATCTTTTTA